GGTCAGCGCCATTAGCGAACGGAGGATTCCCTTCGGTCGGAGGGAATCGGCTCCGCGAAAATAGGGTCCTGAGCGCTACGGTGAAGCGGGGACCCCCAGAAATCGCAGGCGCTGAAGCCTGCGAACGTGGAGACTCGGCGGGCACCCTTCAGCGCCCCCCCAACTCGCGAGGAAGCCTTGTTTTTGAGGCTTCGTAGCGGAATGGGGGAGAGGCGCGGTGCTGTGAGTTGACTGCTGCTTTCGCGGAGCGAAGCCATGTTGCCGTTGCTAGAGAGCGCTGATTTCTTCCTGGAACATTCGGACTAAAAGACCAACCGTGAGTAGGTGGAATTGGACTTAAAAGATTACGAATTGGACTAAATTTTTAAAGGGAAAAGACCTTCAATTGGAACAAAAATAAGGACTGAATTGGCTACCGCGGCGGGAGGTGAATACAGGAAGTCCGCTTCCCGTCTTGTAAATAGTGTAAAGCATAGAGACTTTGAGCTAAACGTTGGAAATTGACTTGAAAAGAGCTGTTTTCCGACCTGAGAACTCTTTGTGAATCTACCCTTCTGAAAATAGGAAAGGAAGGGGTTTGTTTTTTCTGGACTGCGTAAAGTTGTTTAAAGAGCAATCTGCCTGTGAGACGTCTCAGCTGTCAAAAGCTGTCAAAGAGAACTGCCGACAGTAAGGTGGATATATTGTGGCCAGTTTCGCTGGAAAAATAATTGGAAGGCTACATTTTGGAACTGTTTCTTAGTCTTTGTCTACACTTTGTTTTTTTCTTTCCTTTCTTGTTACTTCAAAAGGGAAAGTGACTGCTTTGGACTGTTGTAACAGTGTCCACCTAGGGGGACTTTCTGAAACTGCAACAAGGGAATTTTCCACTGGTAAACAGGAACAGCATATCTGAGAACGGCCTTGACTTTCACATTGTTATGGCAGATGGCAGAGAGAAATTAGACCCGTCAGTTTTGAGATCTGGGAAACCTTGGGGGCATCGAAGGCAATCATCTGCTGGCTTGCCTACGACAGCAACACAAGCTAAGTCCAGTGGAATGGCAGAAGAAGTTCTAGCCAGTGCTCTGGCCAGGATTAATGAAACTTTACTACAACTTAGTACAAAGGTTGATGAGACGAATAAAAAGGTTGAAGAAACGAATAAGAAAGTTGATACTGCAAATAAAAAAATTGATTTAAATACAGAAACATTAGACAACTTGGGGAAAAAGGTAAACAGCAACACAGAATCCATTCAGAGACTATTGCAGGAGTCGAAGTCTACACAGGAAAAAACTGCTGCTGTGGAATTCAAAGTAGGGCAGCTGGAAACTGAGAAGGTACCTGGCCTACAGAAAGAGATTGCAGATCATAAGTTGACGCTGTCTATGATCGAACTCAGAGAGAAACAATCCAATCTAAGAATTAGAGCTGTTCCTGAGTTGGAGACGGGCACCTTGATAGATTTTCTGACACAAGAATTTGCGGAATTTTGGAAATCGGATTTGAAACAAGAAGGTTTTAAGATTGTGAGGGCCTTCAGACTGGGAAAAGGAGGAAAAAAGATTAAAATAAGGGACTGTTTGATCACCCTCCGATCTAAAGAAGAGAGGGATAAAATTTTAGGTTTGCACTACGAGAAACCTTTGGCAATTCTGCAATCAAAAGTGGAAATTTTTAAAGACATACCGAAACATCTTTTGGACTTAAGACAAGACTTTGGAGACTTGGTGGCCCTGTTGAGAAAAAGCAAGATCCTTTTCAGGTAGGAATTCCCTCAAGGCCTATCTTTTAGTTTCAAAGGAAGAAAGATAAAGATAAGATCAGTGGAGGAAAAAAAGAAGTTCCTGAGCTCATACGAAGAAGATTTACAGAAAGGACTGGGAAAAGAGCCTGCCGTACCGGATGAGAGTCTACAAAAAAAAGTGAAACCAACGCCATCGACAGATATAGATAAACTTTTGGGGGCTGTTGGGGGAGAAGGAGAGTAAGCACAAAATGACACTGCAAGTATTAAGTTGGAACATTAATGGTTTGAACTCCCGGGAAAAAAGGGGGAGAGTATTTCATATATTAAAAAAAGAACATTTGGACTTGATTTGTTTACAAGAAACGCATGTGACAAGGCTACATCGGAAAATTTTGATTAATAAAAGATTAGGAGAAGAATTTATTTCATCAGACAATGTGAAAAAAAGAGGAGTAGTACTTTATGCAAAGGAAAGCCTGTCACCAAAATTTTTATTCAAAGATGACCAAGGAAGATATATTGCAATTGAAATTCAACTTCATGGCCAGAAGTTTTTGACATTAGGTATCTATGCGCCAAATGAGGGAAAATCAGAATTTTTCAAAAATTGCATGAAATCCTATTGGACTATCTGGATTACAATATAATTTTGATGGGAGATATGAATGGAGTAGTGTCTACAAACATGGATAAAGCCCAAAAACAAACGGTGATGAAAGATGGCAGACTACCAAAGACATTCTTTGAAATGACTGACAATATGGATCTTGTTGATATTTGGAGAACAAAGAACCCCTTGGAAAGAGAAGGAACCTTCTTCTCTGAAGCAAAAATGACATGGACAAGAATAGACCAAATTTGGATAACTAGGGGACTGGCCCCGAAGATAAAAAAAGCGGTAATTTCTCCTAAAATTTGCTCTGATCACAACCCAGTAAAGATGGAAATGGCATTAATGCCAATTGGAGCTTTTAGATGGAGGATGAATGACTCCTTGCTTAGGAATGAGGAAATTATCAAAAAGGCCCAGAAAAACTTGAGAGACTATTTTGAGATAAATATGAACACTACGACCGAGAAAAGAGTGATTTGGGATGCAAGCAAAGCAGTGATGAGAGGGTTCTTGATACAACAAAATGCAATTAGGAAAAGAGTTCAAAATGAGAAGAGGGAAAAATTTTGGAGAAAATAAAGGATGGAGAAAAGAGACTGAGGGCAAAATCGAACTCACAGGAGATTTTAAAAGAGATAAAGTTACATCAAGTACAATATATGAAACTGACGAATCAGGAAATAGAATGGAAGATCAAACAGATGAGACAAAGGACATTTGAATCGGCGAATAAGTGTGGGAAATTATTGGCATGGCAAATGAAAAAAAGACAAAAGCTTAATACTATTACGAACTTGGTAGTAGAAGGAAAGAGTATACAGAACCCTGTGGATATTAGAAAGTGTTTTCAGAAGTACTTTAAACAGTTATACACGCAGGAGACTCAGAAAGAAATAGATATTGATCGGTTTTTGAGAACAAATGGATTACAAAAAATCTCTCAAGAGAGTAAATCGATGTTAAACTCTACAATATCTGATCAAGAGGTGGAAGGAGCCATTCAGGACATGAAATTGGGCAAATCTCCAGGGCCAGATGGTTTGACTGCAAAGTATTATAAATCTTTGAAAGAATGGTTAATGCAGCCTTTGAAAGAAGTTTGCAATGAAATATTAGGGGGGGGGGAAAGGCACCCGAGTCGTGGAAAGAAGCTTATATTACACTTATACCGAAAACAGAAGCGGAAAAGACACAGCTTAAGAACTACCGTCCCATATCCCTACTTAATGTGGATTACAAAATTTTTGCAGAAATTATGGCTAAAAGATTAAAAAATGTATTGGTGAAAGAAATCCATAAGGACCAAGCGGGCTTTCTCCCGGGGAGGCATTTGTCAGATAATACGAGGAATATTATTAACATTTTAGAAAAACTACAAGTTAATATTAATACTAAAGCAGTTCTAATATTTGTGGATGCGGAGAAAGCCTTTGATAATATCTCTTGGAGTTTCATGAAGAAAAATTTACAGGGGATGGGGGTAGGCCAAAGTTTTGAAAACGGTATAGGTGCAATTTATTCGGAACAAAAAGCTAAGTTGATTGTAAATAATGTAGTTACAGAAGATTTTAAGATAGAGAAAGGAACAAGACAGGGTTGTCCAATCTCCCCACTGCTTTTTATATCGGTCCTGGAGGTCTTGCTTAACATGATCAGGAAAGGCCAATTGGTTAAAGGTATACAACTCGGAGCTAAACAGTATAAATTAAAAGCTTTCGCTGATGATTTGGTTTTGACACTACAGGAGCCAGAATCCAGCACAAAAAGAGTATTGCAATTAATCCAAGAATTTGGTCAAGTAGCAGGTTTTAAACTGAATAAGATGAAAACTAAGGTGTTAGAGAAAAATCTTACAGAGATTGAGAAAGAGAGGTTTCAGAAGGAGACAGGATTAACATTGGTTAAGAAAGTGAAATATCTAGGGGTTCACATGACTGCTAAAAATGTGAATTTATTCAAAGATAATTATGAAAAATGTTGGATAGAAGTAAAGAAGGATCTGGAAATATGGTCAAAATTGAAGTTATCATTGTTAGGCCGAATTGCTGCGATAAAGATGAATGTATTGCCTAGAATGTTGTTTTTGTTTCAAACATTGCAGATTTTGGATAAGATGGACTGTTTCAAGAAATGGCAGAGAGATATTTCGAGATTTGTCTGGCAGGGCAAGAAGCCAAGAATAAAATTTAAGATTTTAACTGATGCTAAAGAAAGAGGTGGATTTGCCCTGCCAGACCTTAAACTTTATTATGAATCAGCCGCATTTTGCTGGCTGAAAGATTGGCTGCTTCTTGAAAACACGGACACTTTGGATTTAGAAGGTTTTGATAATGTTTTTGGATGGCATGCATATTTATGGTATGACAAGGTTAAAGCACATAAGGCCTTTAAGAACCATATTGTCAGGAAAGCATTGTTTAATGTCTGGGTGAGATACAAGGATTTGTTGGAAAGTAAAACACCAAGGTGGTTGTCACCAATGGAGGCTAAGGCTCTGAAAAAAACCAATATGGAGACAAACTGGCCAAAATATTGTGAAATTCTAGAACAAGATGGAGATAAACTAAAGCTGCAGAGTTTTGACAAACTAAAAACTAAAGTTCGAGACTGGCTTCATTATTATCAAATAAGGGAGGCCTTTAATTTAGATAAAAAGATTGGTTTCCAGGAGGAAAAATCAAAATTAGAAACAGAATTGCTAGATCCTAAAACTAAGAATTTGTCAAGAATGTATAATTTGCTGTTGAAATGGAATACACAGGATGAAACGGTTAAATCTGTTATGATTAAATGGGCACAAGATTTTGGACATAACATTATGTTTGCTGACTGGGAACAGTTATGGACCACAGGTTTGAAATTTACGGCATGTAATGCCTTAAGAGAAAATATAATGAAAATGATTTATAGGTGGTACTTAACCCCAGTCAAGCTAGCAAAAATCTATCATTTGCCAGATAGTAAATGTTGGAAATGTAAAGAGACTGAGGGTACATTTTTTCACCTTTGGTGGACATGCCCAAGGATTAAGGCTTTCTGGGAAATGATTTATAATGAATTGAAAAAGGTATTTAAATATACCTTTCTGAAGAAACCAGAGGCCTTTCTTCTGGGCATGGTCGGCCAATTGGTGCGAAGGGAGGATAGAACTTTCTTTATGTATGCTACAGCAGCAGCAAGAATACTCATTGGGAAGTACTGGAAGACACAAGAATTGCCTACCCGAGAAGAATGGCAGATGAAAGTGATGGACTACATGGAACTGGCTGAGATGACCGGCAGAATTCGAGACCAGGGAGAAGGGTCGATGGAAGAAGATTGGAAAAAATTCAAAATATATCTTCAAAAATACTGCAATATAAAAGAATGTTAGAAAGAGGTTGGAAAAAGAATATTAGGTCGTTTTGGTAGATATGATATAATGGACTAAGCAAAAATGAGTTGTTGATTTTGATGAAATGGAGGAAGTTTAATTACATTATTTGAAATTTTAAAATACGTAAATGAAAATAAGGTTAGAAGGAATTGCTGGAAATACGATCTGAACTAGAATACAAAATTGGGAGGTGAGAGGAGGTCATGGAAATAAGTAAAGGGAAAAAGGTTAAGTAAAGGTTTAATCTGTTTTTGTTTTATTTTAACTTAATGTATTTTTATATCTTTTGTTAAGTCTTCTTTTTTATTCTATTTTATTGTTCTTTTTTATTTGTTTATTCTACGCTTTGTCACGGTCAAAGTTTTCCTTGTATTTTGTATGGTTTTTCTTTTTCTTTTTTGTAATTTTAAATTTGAAATAAATATCATTAAAAAAAAAAAAGACTGGCTGTGTATGTACTATGCATTTGTTTGTTTGTTTTTTTTAAAAAAGTTATTTTTTCACAAAGAAAAAAAGAGTTACAAATTTTTGCATAAAGCATAAGTTACTTTATCAACTGACTTCCCATCCTCCCCTTTCATGGTTTCTGTATTTACCCTCAAATGCTGTGTATTTTGCCTAAACTATTCAATACATTCACACTGTTGCTCATATTTCAAATGGGTGGGGTATGAATAAATATATTATTATTATTATTATTATTATTATTATTATTATTACTATTATTATTTCTGTGCAAGGGAGGAGGATGGGGGAGAAACCTAGAAGACCTCTTTGCCTCCAAAGCAACCCCATCAAGTCCAGGGATCAAGACTTCGATGATATGCATACCTATCTGGAAGTCAATCCTATCCTATTCCGAATAAAACCTTTTCAGGATTGCATTGCCTTGCAATCTTTCCTAACTATGGCCACATAGTTAGTTGTGGGAAATTGGCAAAACCAGCATTTTTTTTTCTTTTTCTGATTTCCGACTGCAGTATTCCAGATATGTCTGCAAAATCCCGGATGAATGGCAACCCTAACAAACAGATAAAATAAGAATGTGGCAAAGAAAGAAAGCTGCTGAAGAGTGAGCAGGCACATAGAAAAAGGAAGAGGTTGAAAGAAAGAAAAAAGCAACGGTGCTTCACTGGGGAATTTATAGCAACATTTTGCTCTGCTTATTCTCATTTATTTGTATACATGAATGTAACAGGTATTGGGCCTCCTTGTGAAGAAAGTGATTCTGGTGCAATTCTCACAATTTGGCAAATTTGGACTAAAAAGCCAGTCTGTTGCAATATTTACACTAAATGAAACCTTTCTTATTAAGTATAAAAGGAAATGCTTTGTATTTATTCTACAAAAGTTCTGTTGTACTACACTTTTGAGGCACCAGAATAATTCTGCTGTATGTTACTTCCTTGTGCTAATGAGCCAAAGTGTGCCAAGCACAATGCCCCTTAAATGACATAAGGATAATTGCTGAGGCTGTTGACGCAGCAAAATGTTGCCCATCTGTTATTCCCCATGACATCTAAAGCAATATCACTAAATAGCACAAAAACAGAGTCCGTGCTCTGTTTAGATAAGAGGTTAGGTCTGAATTGTGCCAGGCAAGCCTGTGCATGTTGATTCAGAAGAAAGGTCCAGTGATTGCAATGGGGCTTACATCCAGGTAAAACTGCATAGATCTACAGCGATAATTGCCTTCTAGATTGTAGATAAGAAAATAATTAATTCATTCCCCAGTTAAGAAATCACTGTACTGCATGTGCTCCATGAATGCAAGGAGGCATACCCTGGAACAGTGACTCATGCAAACTCTCAGAGTTTGCCAGCTTCAGAGCTAGATTTTTTAATTTTTTTTTTTTGTAGAGACAGAACAGGTAATCTCTGAGGATGGGTATGTTGGGCTCTCAAGAACCTTTACTTACTTATTTCCTATAGGGTGGTTGCAATTCACTTGTGGCACACTAGTATGCCCGAGTGCATAACTTTGACTTACCTTATTCAGGAAATGTTTTGTACCCTCCGATGAAAATAGGGACGTCTCATTCCATAATGATAATTTTACTATTTATACCCCATATATCTTCCTGAGTTGCCCCAGTCACTCTGGGCAACTTCTAACATATATAAAAACATAATAAGACATTAAACATTTAAGAAAACACCTTCCCTATACAGGATTGCCTTCAGATGGCTCGGGGGTCAGAGAACTCCATACCCTCCAACATTTATCCAATGAAAATAGGACATCCTAAGGAAAAGTGGAACATTCCGGGATCAAATCAGAAACCAGGACAGCTTCTCTAAATCAGGGATGTCAATGGAAAATAGAGGTGTTTGGAGGGTCTGATGTTTTAAGATCTGTATTAATGATACTGCCATTTCCCCAACCATACTGAAGCTGCAATCACATTTGCATTTGCGGTTGAATTCACTTCTAAGCAGACCTGCAAAGGATTGCATCATAAATGTTTACAGTTGTTAGATACTAGTCTGGCAGCTTGCTCAAAGACATACCCACCAAATGTGTCTAATTACAATTCCAGTTTAGTTTAGGTTCAGTGACACAAAACTAGGTAAATTTTAGTTAAGAGATGCCCTACGAGCAAGATATTCTAATGATTGTGTTTTGCATAACTGGTAAATTGACATCCAGTCTAGTCTGTAAATTGCCTCTGTTTTATATAATTGTTGTTTTAAGGTAACCAGCTAGCAGGATCAACTAAATTTTGCAGCTTGTGACCCACAATTATGGATCGCCAATGAGTCACACCTGTCTTGGTTCCCAGAGCAAAAATGTGTGGTGCATGAACGGTTTCTTGAATTGTTCATGTTGACCCTTCCTCAGTTCATAATATGGATCCTGTTAAAAAATAATTGCTAGCCAGAGCTATAGGGGTAACAGTATATCTGAATATATGTAAACAACCCTCAAAATTGTTCCTTCTATTCCAGGGGTCTGCAACCTTTAAGACAAAAAGAGCCACTTTTTAAATTATTTCTTTGTTTGACCCCTCAGAATTACTCCTCCTCATAGAAATAAACATTAAATTAACAAGTTACCTTTGTGTGTGTGTGTTCTTCACTCCCCTTCAAAACAGTGACCAGCGTACATGCCCCCTTTCAATGCAGTGACCAGCGTACATGCCCCTTACAATGTAGAGGGCGGGCGGGTGGGAAGGTGACGTCGGGACGGTGCGTGACTAACGCACGCACCGCCCCCATGCAACGTCACAGCCAGTACAGCGCCTGCCACAGTGGGGAGTGTCAGGGCACACAATGCGCCTCCTCCCCTCACTAGTATCCGCCCCGGAGCCGCGGCAAAGGTGTAAAAGAGCCACATGCGGTTCCGGAGCCGCGGGTTGCAGACCCCTGTTCTATTCACTTATTTGTTTATGAATGCATTTTTTAAAAACACTGGTGCATTATTACAGGGACAGGAAATGGCAAAGAGTAGCAGAGGAGTTGGGACTGCCCAGTAACATCAAAGCTAGGAATAGCTTCCATCCTGTGGCTGTAATTTGACAGTCTGACACAGATTTCTGAGGTGCTGAGCTGTAACTATTGCAAAACACACAGCCTAGCAACACAGCTAAGTACAAACACCATTGCACATTTCACCCATACAAAAGAATACATAGAGAACTATGCTTCCTCCTTTCTCACTGTTCAGAGCTTAAATCAAGTTTTGCTCTCTGGATACTTTCTATGAACCCAGAACTCCAATTCCCTGTTTCTGGGGAGATGATGAGTTTGCTTTCAGATGTGCTAATCTGTTAATCCTCATGGAAATGCTCATGGAAGACTTCACAACTTTTCTCAAGGTATAGTGTTTTAAGACTGGTGCTTTAGTTTGCAATTGCAGTGCTTTTTTAAAAAATTGATTACATATTTTCAAACCTGCATGTGAACTGCTCTGAAAGGAATTTGCCCTGAAAGGCATCCTAGAAATGCTGAAAATACACCAAAATGATAGCCAGCAGTCCACCTCTCTTAGTGTCTTCTCACTGTACCCTACCTAACACACACACCAAAAAGGTGATGCGCAGAATCCATTGGGGAGTTCTCCCAGAATACAGTTAGTTTTATTTATTTCTGTGGCACATTTGCAGGAAGCATTTGCAGTGGCTTGTGCCCATGATTTCTTTCCCCAGGAGACTGGAAAAGCGGTGGTGATTACAACTGGCTTTGAAGTACTTGTAAAATGGTTGATACAGGTTCATGAATGAGGATAGGTCTATAAAGATGACGACGATGATGATAATGATAATGATGATATTTTTGGCAATGGAAGGGTTAACCCACTGGCACCTGGGTGCATTCTGTATATCTGCCCAGAAGGATCCTTCATGGTAAGTTACCAGGGGCAGATTTAGGTTTGATGAGGCCCTAAACTACTGAAGGTAATGGGGCCCTTTACTGTGTATGTCTAGCTGTCCTTTGTCAACAAATCGTTGCTGTTTTTTGTGTTGAATATATACTATATGGTATATACTGTACTATATTTATGGACCTAATAGGTATCTAAAACCATTTGCACATAACAAAATATATATTTTATCAAAGTAATTGTTGAACTGAAATACAGTTAAGAAGAAGTATATTAATAGTGAAATACAATTAAGAAGTACGGTATATTAAGAGTGAAATAATTATTAAGTTCTAACTTAAAATGATTTTTTCCTTATAACAAACTTAATAGTGCTAATACTTTGGCATTTGACAATAACAAAAGTTCCTTTAGAAACACAATTTACAAAAACTCGTAATTTTTGAGTGGGGCCCTAAGCTATAGCTTGTTTAGCTTATATGTAAATCTGGCACTGTAAGTGACCAATGTTCCTCTGTATCACACAGATTCAGAGACTTCGCCCTTTGAAATTCACTTACAGAAAACCTTCAAAAGGTGAACATGAAAAATCCAAGTAAGTAATAAAATACTTTCCCTTTGCATTGAAAGTTATTGAATTGCTTTTCCACAACAAATTCTGAATGCTTTTGCATGTTGAACGTTGCTTTGATATGATCAGACTAGGATTTTTATAAAATGACTTTTCCCCCATCTGAAAGGAATTGTTTTGCATAAATAATCTTCTGTAATGTTCTCAATGATGTTACATTCACAAACGGTGCAGTCCATGAGTGTAGCCAGGGGGGTGCAGGGGGGGCAACCGCCCCCCTAAATCAAGTAAATAAATAAAAATACTTAACTATCTGACCAATTGCATCAAGGATAGCTCGGTTCTCCCCCCCACCAAACAAAACTCCTACCCCCCCCCAACATAAATCCAGGCTACGCCCATGGTGCAGTCCCTACACAGAAGTTAAGCCTCACTGAATTCAATGGGGCATACTCAGAGGCAAGCATTTACTATTGTATGACAGCCTAAGTGAGGCGGCTAAGTGAATAATTGTTGGTGGCAATAATGTGAGACAGCAAATAAGATATTAGCATGATAAATAAGAGAACAGAAAATAAAGGATGATTCCCCACCCAATAAAAACATAGGACTCACCTAATGAACCCTGGCAGCAGAAGCCCTGTGCAAGAGCTTCCACTTGTGCAATGGGACGTCCCTCCTCTTTTCTCCCCCACTGCCCCAAATTGGCTTGAGTGGGTGTGGGTGTGGTGAACGCCTAGAACAGCTTGCAGGGAAAATGGGGATCATTCCATCTGGCAAGCTGATACGCTTGTGCAGACATAATGTTTGTAATAGCACTACACTGAATTCCACCCATAACCAGGAGGCTATAGATGGTATTCAACCAAGTTTTATTCAGACCAGATCCATTAAAATTAATGGGACTAATTTAGTCATGTTTATTAATTTCAGTGGGCCTGATGTGAGTAAAATGTAATTGAATGCCAACCTATGCACACTGGGGTACATACAACTATTCCAAGAATAAAAAAAACTTTTAATGTATCAATAAAAACCAAAGTATCTTGGAAAATAAGCAGTAACTGTCCAGATACTTTGTCATTCGTAAAGATTACAAATACAAAGCCTTGCACTTTTAACTGAAGCAGTTAATGAATGCTAATGTACAAGTATGGCTCAACTGCTGAATTATCCAATTAATTCTGAGATTATGGCTTTGCGTTTGTTAATAATGCTTGCTGACCAGGGCTGTGTTGATTATTTCATCTCGCCCATTAATTGTGCAAGAGCTTTGCACAGAGAGGCACAAACAGTTTATTGTCTTTCACAGCTCTCTGGATCTAGGCCAGTCTTTTCCCAGGGTTCCCAGACAAGAGCCTCTGTCAGACATGGAGAACTTCACTCACTCGTTGTCATTAGACCCATTCTTGGCAAAAGCAGCAAGAGATACATCTACTGATGTGGTCAAAAGCACTGTGAAGGACTTTGCCGATGACTACCTCAACAGGGCTGCTATTTTCAATAGTATGGATGAAATAGTGACTGAAGTGGCCCATGCAGCTTTGCCCGAACTAGTGAGTAATATACTGGCCACCTTTCTCCCACATCTCCTCCTTCCTGCCCCCTGTGCAAAAGGAAATAAATGCAGAATTTATCTGATGGTACTGTGTAATGTATATGCTCTTTTACTGATGGCTTAGATCCAAGAGGCACAGCAAGAATTGGACCAAGAAGAACTGCTGGGTGGGATCATCTTGTGTGTTGTTGAGGAGGAAGCCCATGCCTTAGTTCAGACTGTCCTTGATGAATATCATTCTGAAATGTTTAAACTGCAGAAGGAAGAGGTAAGCTTAGAACTTGTGCTCAAAGAATTTAAGAAGTACCTTGTCGGCTCAGAGCAAAGGTCTGTGTATTCCACCATTCTGTTTCTTACCTTTGGGAAGCCAGAAACAGGATATGAAGACAACTGATGCCCTCCAGTTTGTCTCCAGCCGAAAGTTACACTTCATGGAAGATGGAGTGTCCATTTTGCTGCTATGTCATTTATTGATCTGCATTAATTTAGTCATAAGTGATTACAATTATATCATAATGGCCAAACTATCCTATCAGTTAAGCTAGCTGCGCTTAAGAGAAACCATGAAATAGACAACTGGAACTTTTTATATTTTTTGATGCTATTGAACTATTGGGGGGGTCTGTATTCTAGATTATATTTTATATATTTGTATACCACTTAGTACTTAAGACAAGCTGTTTACAAAACAACAATATGTATATATATTTCAAACAGTGACTTTGAGAAGCTATGTTGCAATAGAAAACAGAACTACCACACTATGCAATTAAAATAATAATGCCTCAAAAGACAAAAACATAGTAGCTCCCAATATTGCCAGCCAGCACAGCTGTAACATGGGAGTTCAAGATATCTGGAGGGCACCAGCTTGGTGAAGGCTGCAGTATGGTATAGAGGTAAGACTAGGACCTATGAGATCCAGGTTCAAATCCCTACTCAGCCATCTAAGTCACTTGGTAACCTCAAGCCAGTTACGATCTCTCAGTTTAACCTACATCACAGGATCATTGTGAGAATAAAATGGGGATGAGGAAGAAATCCATTTACACAGCTTTAGGCACCCTGGAGGAAGGGTGAGATAATGTATCAGAAGGTAAAATAAAGTAAGTTGGGGGAGGGCAGAAGTTTGGGTCTCTGTGACAAAGCCCAGGATGCTCAGACTTGCCATTCAAAGAGGAAATTTAGCAAGTGACTCCTGGTGGTTTTCTGGATATGCACAGTCCCCTTCACCCGCCATTGAGCTTTTTCTCCTTCTACTGCCATTTTCAAATTTTATATTAATTGCCATTAATAAAATGAACTTCATTACTTCTAATCATCCCACAAGAGCAGCGAGGGTTGCACGCTTCCTCCACTTGATGCACTGAAATGAGTTTGCCTCTCTCACCACCACTCTTCACTGTCTGTTCAGTGCCATTTCTCTTTGAGATTCATCTCACTATTAAGGCACATCATTCAGTCTGGACTCTGTCCTTCACATTCTAATTACTTGGAGAAAGAAATAAAAAAGAAAGAAAAGATTGCTGTTATTGTCAGGCACAATGCAGAGACCTGTCTTCATTTATTTGCATATCAGGCAGGAGCACGTCAACCTCCCCTCTTCTGCCAAGGTAATCTCCACAAACAAGCATCTCTGCATGTACGTCAGCGAGGAGCTACACAAAATCACAATGCACTCTTCCTTATTAGAAACCAAATCCATTACAATGCATGCCAAGTTCCCTACAACACGACAGGGTGTAATCTATAAATCATATGCCACAAGTATTTATGCCGCCTGTCAGTTCTTATCCTTTAGTACCCAGGCAAAGCATTTTTCCTTTTACTGATTCTCAGCATCAAAGTGGCATTTTAAGACCTCTTTTGAAAAACAACAGCAACCACGAAGCATATCAAAACTCACCCTTTGGCCAGGCAGAGGTGTGAAGGTGAGGCTTATTTCATAGCCACCCTGCTTGAGATATGAACATGGCATCAGAAAAACTCTGATTTTGTACTGGAATACATAATTATTAACTAAGGGCTTATCCATACTTTCCAGGCACAGGCCAGTGCTTTCCCCATGAAAACATGCTCTTTAAAGCTGAATTGGAGCTAACACCAATTTGGGTTTTCTACGGATTGCTGTTTGCCTTGATTGAGCTTTAAAGAGCGGGTTTTTGTGGGGATAACTCCAGAGCAAAAATAAAGGGCAATTGGACATGGAGCTATAAATCACGGACGGTAGTGGAGGAAAGAGTGGAGGAAAGGTAAGTGTGGATAAGCCTTATCTATAAAATATATATATAGTGTTTCCTAAAAGAAAATACTTCTTCATGAGCTGTTTAATGAATTTTCTACCACATAGCTTAGATTGGGGGTGGGGAACTCTCCAGATGTTGCTGGTTTCTAACTCCCAACATTCCCTACCAGCATGACTATTTTTGAGTGATTATGAGAATTCCAGTTCAACCAAATTTGGAAGGCCAGAGTTCCCCCACCCTTGGCTTAGGTGGTGTTCAAAAGGAGTTCAGGCTGGTTTTCTCAGTGTGGTGTAGTGGTTAAGAGCGGTAGTCTTGTAATCTGGGGAACCGGGTTCGCTTCTCCGCTCCTCCACATGCAGCTGCTGGGTGACCTTGGGCCAGTCACACTTCTTTGAAGTCTCTCAGCCCCACTCACCTCACAGAGTGTTTGTTGTGGGGGAGGAAGGGAAAGGAGAATGTTAGCCGCTTTGAGACTCCTTAAAGGGAGTGAAAGGTGGGATATCAAATCCAAACTCTTCTTCTTCGTCTTCTTCCAAGTGTCCTTACTAACTATCGCCGAGGGCTTGAATACTGATATGAAATCTAAAGACTTAGTGATCATATCGCCGATGGTTGTTCAGTTATCCACAATGCAAACAAGGAAAGCTTTCAAGGACTGTAGATTTATGCTACAAGAATGTCTAGTGTCTAGCCCTTGCTGAGAAAACACGTAACTTGAAAGCAATAAAAGGAAAACCAGACAAATTCAATGCAGTGTGGGGGCCATTTATTTCATCCACTAACAAAATTGAACTTAAAAACAGACTTTCAAGGGCATCTGTGCAGGTCTGGAGGTCACGAGCAGGACAGACTGAATATACCTACTCTGGACACAAGATCTTCTTATGAACTGAATAATTTATAAGCAGCCCCCGAGACGTTGTGTTTTGTATATTTGGATTCTTTGTATGGATAGATGAGAATAGTTTTGTTATGTATTACCTGATATTTGCTTTTGGTGGTGGTCCTGTTATGTGATGTTATATCTGTTATTCAAATAGCCAAGAAAAAATATTGGAAGAAAAAAGAGTTAAGGTAAATTGATGAAATATAATAAGTCTTCCAATGAATATTAGTCATTATAGCTAGATGGACTAGCCATGTTCAGAAGTACTTGTTTGGGTGCAAATAACAGGGAAAAGTTGTTGCCCTCATACCTTACTTGGAGGTTTCCTAGAGGCATGTCGTTGGTCATACTGGGAAACAAAGTGCTGGGTAAGAAAGGCTTTTGATCTGATCCAGGAGGACTGTACTTGTGTTATTACAAGTTAACAATTTAGTACAATTGACTTCACCTGAATATTTTGCTCTTTTGGAATATGTTAGGAAGGTTGTGGCAAAAATATAAGGGCAAGTAAAAGCAAGAAACACACAGCAGCAGTATAAACAGGTAGGAATAAAATAATTAGGAAGTAACTACTGAAGAAGGGGGTATTCTGACTCTTGAAACTTAACACAAGTTTTTTTGTTGACTTCTTAGACTGCAACAGAAATTGCTTGAGATACCTCAAACTTCTTCACAAAACTGGAAGGTCTAATAAAACTTGGTGGTTTTTTTTAAAGAAAAAAGAGAAATCACACTTTGTGACATTTTTTCAAGTTCAGTGCTGCTTGACACAATCCTGATTAAGGAAATCAGCAGTGCAGCCTCCAGAGACAATATTTCTCTGACCCTAAGGTCACCATACTTGAGGACAAAAATGCTTTGGGGGATGGATAAAATATGAAGCTGTTGAATTAAAGCACATTAACAATTTGACCCTGCACTATATGATCTGCCATGGATCATTATCTCTTAAAATGTCAGAATATTTATACACTTTTAGATTGTCCATGAGAGGTAAGCCGAATCATTCCAAATCTGTCATGCACTTGCTCTCACTTGAAGAAATTGGTTGTAATGCAGCAAGTTAAGTATGTGTAACCAGCACAGTTAAATGCCATGTCACAGTTCAGTGTCTCATTAATACTAAAATACTTGTTATTCCCACTGATCTTGGTTGGATTTAGAGGCATCCAGTTTTTGCTGGATTGAACCTCTTATCTGAACTTTAGCTGGACACTGCTGCCACTTCCACAGGGGAATTGGTTTACCCCTTAAGCAGGCTGTGCTGCATGTAGAGTTTGGGAATATATGTTCTTTCATTAATTCTCAGGAAGCAGATGTATTTATTTATTAATAAGATTTCTTGCCCACATTTCACTATAAGGTCCCAGGGCAGATTACAACAATATCATATTCAAGTATAAAAAAGATAAAACTGTTGCAAGACTAAAAACAAATAAAAACATATTTCTTTATTGCTCTTTTTAAAAAGAGAAAAAAAAAGCTTTTGAAAGCATTGAAACCAGGCTGGGTAGACTAAGCTTGCTTTGTTTGCACACCTATAAGGGCAGCCACTGGAACTCTCTCTCCTTGAGCACAATGAGAAACCTTACGAAGCAGCTGCTGAAGAATGTTTTCTTTTTCTTTTATAAATGTAATGGGGGTGTCTGTTTCTGTCTCCTCCCCTCCCAGGTTGCTGTGTTTGCTGCTAAACAACTTATTGATATATTTCTTCTGGAGCGTGTGATAGGGAAGATGAGTTTGCAGGGCCCAAGGTTTTCTTGGAAGGAGCACTCAAGCGCGATTTTAGATAGTGAGTATTGAACAGCTGGGGAGGGGAATGCCTGTAACTTTGGGGAAAGCCATAATATCTTGGATTTATTTAACACTGTGGGATCTAAGAAGCCTTTTGCAAACACTAAAGGGCTGGCAGAGATGTGAGCTTTGATTACATTTCCAAGGTAGGTTACCGTGGCATGAACAATGCTTGTCGGGCTTAAATATGACAGATACTAGGCATACCTACACTGCAGATTTTAAGTACCCTTAATATTCAGATGGTCAGGTGCATCTGCCACCAAGTGCAGGAGTCAGCCTTTGAATGTTACAACAAATGAGTAGCAGTATGGCAAAAGTGGAATCCTGTAGGCAGCAGCTTCTGCATGCCACTCACTGGCCATGATCTGGGAGTCAGACAAAACTGAACAGTCAAATAGACCCTGCATGCTCAGACATTTTTCCTAGAACAAAATTCACATTTTTTGGGGGGGGGAGTATTTTTTTTTTAAATATCTAAAATATCTGCAATCTATTCAGTAAACAGCATTTTGGCAAGGCCAGTAAAAAATCTCAAAGAGGCTCTACACATTCATAAATTGTTGTAGCTCACTGGCAGCCAGTGCAATGCTTTCAGGTCCGGTGGTAACACATAGTCACATTTGGGCTGCTCCCCTTACCAACGAAGCAGTTGCATTCTGCATGAACTGCAGCCTCCGGACCATCTTCAAGGGCAGCCCTACATAGTGCATCACAGTAGACCAAACAGGAAGTCATCAGAGCATGGACAACTGGCAGGAACGGCTGTAGCTACCCATAGTGCTACACTCATACACAGTGCTATTTTTCTAAAGGAAGTGCTGGAACTCACCATGAACACCTCCTTGTCCTCTTATAATGGCATTGGCGTCAACCCAAGAGGTGCCAGAACTGAGTTCCGGTGAGTTCTAGTTGAAAAAAAGCCCTGCCCATACGGCTGTAGTGTCCTACCAACATTTCTCTCTTTTTTTATAATATTTTTATTAATTGTCCATCAAGAAAAAATGCATATCACACCACATTACAACTTTCACAGATTTTCTCTTTTTTTAGACTTCCTTCAGCCTCTCTGACAATCATCCGAATTTAACTTTTTTAATTACACATTTCCTAAATTACTGTTGCCTTTTAGCATACCCTTCCACATTTGTTTTTCTTTTTTACAATACTTCTCAAACTTTTACAGAGCTTCTTGGAATGCCACTAGCGTTATTCTCTCATCACTTATACATTCCAAATACTCAACAAACTTTCCCCAGTCCTCGATGAACTTTTGATCTCATAGATATCTAATCTTCCCTGTCAGTTTATCAAGTTCTGCATAGTCCATGGACTATGGACTGATGGCCTACCAACATTTCTCAAGTGGGTATCAATTATCCCTCAAGAAAATCCTTGCACACCAGTTTTATGGGGATATAGCCACATTGCTGTTATGGCTGATTTTTCTAGGGGCAGGAAGGATACAGTGCTATTTGGTGGGGGGAAAGCTAGATCAGGACCTGTTACAGCAGGGCAGGGGCTTGATTGGAATCCTGATTAGAATTGCCTTCCCCACAACTGTTTTTTGCATTGGGAGGAAAGTGCCCATTGGCACCATGAGAATTCCTCTCACATTGCAAAAACAGGCACTCAGGTGAGGAGGGATTCCAACTGGGAAGATGGCAAGGAGAAAGAGTTAAAGCTGTTTTCCCCCCTATGCCAGAGTCCCAGCCTGGCTCCTCTCTGGCCCCTGCTATTTCAGGTTTGTTTGTTTTTAATCTATGGCCTTTTAAATTGTGTGTTACTAGTAACATTGTTACTGTGCTGTGTATTTGTGTGTTTTTCTATTGTAAACTGCCCTCTGATCCTCGGATGAAGAGCGGTATAGATATTTAATTAATAAATAATAATAAATATAAAAAAGAGAGAATTCCAAGCTCACCAGGGCAAACTGCATGACAAATGCCATGTCCAGTTTGGCCCTCGATCTTCCTTGCCTACCTTTTTCTTTCTAGATTTTATGTTCGATATTCTCCTTAAGCAGTTATTTAGCATTCAGCAGCAGCAGCGAGTTACCTCTGAAAACATCCCCCTGGGAGATTTCCATCTGAAAGCTTTTACCGAGGTGGTAAGTAGGCTCATATTTTAAAATGTTGATTGTTTTGGCTGCCTTTTATCTTTCCTGTACTGCAGTGTCCAGAGGAGCTTCACCCACCCTGCCTCCACCTCTACCAGAGCAGGCTCAGAGCTAATTAAGGGGAAAGGGTCGGATGTAACACACACACACACACAGAGAGAGAGAGAGAAAGAAAGAGAGAGGGAGAGAGAGAGGGAGGGAGAGAGAGATTAGTTGAGACCTACTTCATCATGGGCTGCTGGATTCCCCCTCCTTCGCTAATCATAGATTATTGCTCCTCCTAATATCTCTTTCTCTATTAAATATTCTGTTTAACCTTCACAGTGCTGAAGTTAAGTCAAATACTCCAGTGCATTAGTTGTTCTAAGTGCCTCAATGCAGCAATTGCCCTAAGTACATAGTGGTAGTGGGCTCCTTACACTCACAGAACAGCAGCTTTGCATTCACAGTATCTGAGGTGGAGGATAAATCGATGTCTTTGCCTTCCACACACATAGGCTGGTACAGAATGCTACTGTATGTATCGTAAGTAAAACTATAATTAAAAAAGGCTTCCTCAAGGCAAGTGAGGAAATCCCATTTAAGTATGTGAAATTTACTTCCAAATAAATATGTAGATCTTTCTCAATACTTCCTACCTGATCATTTTTAACTGGAGATGGAACAGGGCACCATATTATGAAAGATTACCAAAGTCTGCCTGTGCTGTGGGAAACTTGCACGCAAGATTTGAGAGCAACAGAACTCTCCCAACTTCTGTCCCCAGCAGCTGTTTTACAGAGACATACAGTACTGCCTTCAACGGTGGAGACAGATCATAGCCTTATCCTCCAAGAATTTGTCTAATCCTCTTTAAAAGCTATCCGAGTTGGTGGTCATCACTACAGCTTGTGGGAGCAAATTCCAGTTTAACTAGGCACGGTGTGAAGAAGTATTTTCTTTTGCCTGTCCTGAAATATCCTATCAGCCTTAGGGCGCTTAAGCTAAAATGGGCTCCCCCTCTGCACTGCAAACCTAATTCTTTGTGTCCAGTTGTCACTGAATGCATAGACAACTGTGTTCCTTCAGTTGTTCCAACAACCTTTTAAATATAATCTGTTCGCAACATGTTCTGACAGTCTGGTTGCAGATCGTAACAGTCTTGTAATGCAGAAATCTAGAACAACTGGGTTTAGCTTATTTTTACAGAATAGTTTTACAGAATAGATAGTTACAGAATAACTGTTATCAGATAGTTCCTAGGAGTTAGAGCACACATTTTCAGGCTTTCCACCCCTGAATTATTATTCTTTGTTTCCTTGCTGCATTAAACACAACTTCCATTATCCTCGGTAGATTCTTGTTTACCTTTAGTCACACATCAAACGTAGAGTTACCAGAAGGTGAATGGTGCAATTATTCTGGACCAAAGGCTGGTATATGATTTATTTATAAGCCTTATGAAAGTCGTAAAGTACCATTCTTGAGTCCTGAATAGCAAAGTCCTATAGCCACAGGAAGCATGCCTGTCCTGATACGTCCTTGAATGACCTTTCAAATGCCCATTGCCTCTGGAGGCGCTTTGCCCTCCTAATTTGATGGAAGTGCTGTTTTTCAAGAATTCTTTGTTATTTACCTTTGTACATTCTGCAGATCAGATGGACTACTGACTCTTAAGGGTTGTATATCATTATTAGAGGGGAAAACATTGTGATGTTGAAATCATTGCAAACCAGAGATTTGTAAACCAAATTTTCCAGCAGATGGCAGCAGAGTAAGCAAGTTTTAAACTCTACTTTGTACTGCAAGGAGCCTTAAAAATAGATCTTAAAATGTGAAAGATTGGCAGGGCACATGGTTTGTGTTTCTTCAGGCTCTGGCACATTCTTTTGACTCTAATCTGATGGGATATTGCTTTGTCTCAAATTACTCATGTGGCTGCCACTTCTTTTATTATGAAAACAGCAATGTGGTTCACATCAAATCAGATCTCTCATTTCATATTATTATTATTTTTAAAAAAAACAGAGCATGAAGCCTTTGTGCTGTAACCTGACTTGTGTAAAGGCCTCAATTTAAAGAAAGTGTTAAGCTTGTTTCTTTCCCTGGATCAGCTCCCGCCCTCACTTTTTCCTTTTCATCTAAATTTTGGGACGCCTCTCTTGTGTATTTCAGGCTTTAGATGTTATCTTGACAGAGCTGAATAAAGTGGTGGACGAGGACATGGAAGATCTGCTGGAATATGAAAAGAAAGCTCAGGTAGAAAGGAATCTGGGGCTGGGGGGTAGTTTTATTACAAGCATTTTGGGGGACAGACAACTATATCCATATTAATGCTCAATGCATAAACAACAGAATGTAAGCACTAGAATTCTCTTAAATCAGATCATAGGTCCATTGTGTCTAGCATCCATTTTCTTCAGTGGCCAGCCAGATTCTTCTGGGAAGAACATAAGCAGACCATGAGTGCAACAACTCTATTTTGCCATTTGCCCCCCACCCCTGGCAATTGCAGTTTTAAGGTAGAATGTCTCTGATCCTAAAGGTTCCATTTAGCTATCATGGTCAATACCCATTAACAGACTTATAAATACATTTGTCTAATCATTTGCTGCCCATCACTACATCTTGTGGCAGTAGCTGCAAATTCCATTAGTTATTTCCATTAGTAACTAGTTAATTTTGCATTATGTGAAGGACTTTTCTTCATGTGGTGTTTTGCAGATTTTGCATTTAATTAGTTACATGTATTTCCCCATCTCCCACAGAGGTATGTGATTCCATCTTAAGCCTCCTAAGCTCATGGCCATCACCACAAATTGTGGCAGGAAGCTTCATAAAATTAACTTATGTGTATAGAGACGGTCCAGCTCTTTGCTGTTCATATATGTGGGTGGAGTACAAGTGTCTGTCATAGACTTGGAGCTGTTTAATCCCCTTGACTGTAGATACCAACTGTTTCCAGAGTCTCATTTCAGGAGCTTATCATGCCAAAGAGTCCAGCCCCTGACATCTGATTGACTTGCGGCATTTGAGAGGTAGGACTACCCTTGATGAGGAAGCTTCACAGTGCACAGAGAGCCTGGATTGCCTGTGCAAGCCCCAGAATGTCACTCCCCACCATGGTATCTCAGTACCTGGGCTGCTTATTGGAAGCTGCCTGGATTATCTCAATATGATTGACTTAAGGACATTCAACTCTTATTTTCTAAGTGTGTGCTTACCATTGTTCCCTTGCATCCGGAAAGGGCAGAAGGCCAGACTCCTTATACCTGACCCATCTGCCAACTCAGGGGCTCCATACAGCCTGCCCAATCACAGCTGGGCAGTGTTAGAATCGTTATTCCTTTCTGTGCCTGAATAGTCCTTTGAGGCCTGAGCATAGGCTGTCTGAGGTGGCTTTCTGGGTTATCAGTGCCTGCTAGCCATAATAGTTGTGTTCCACCTCCACTCTCAGAGGCAGTATGCCTCTGAACACCAGTTGGTGGGTATCACAGGTGGGTGGAATGCCATTGTACTCAGGTTGTGCTTGTGGACTTCCCAAAGGCATCCAGTTGGCTGTGAGAACAGGATGCTAGGTTAGATGGACCATTGGACTGATCCAAAAGGTCTCTACTCATGTTCTTACATCAGCTTTGGGCTATTCATTTTTTTAAAGCCCTGTACTAAGTATACCAAGTTTAATGCAGATGCCCTCTTCTGCAGATGACTGGAGGCATTTTGTTCTACTGCATCTAGTCCATTGCACCTATTAAAACTAGGATTTGCACTATTAACAGAATATCTCTCCCTTAACAAGAATGATATTCTGCTCTCATAGAGGAGCTTGCTACATAATTGACTGAGGTACATGCTTAACTCATTCTGTATGATATATTTCATTTAAAGGGTATTTAACAGAAACAGAAGAGAGAAAAAGAGCACCTGAATAATGTAAGGCTTTTGGATATGCTTATGTTTCATTTCAGAGTAATATATGTGAGTGTAACACTATTTTACATTTATCTTGATTCCCCATGTGATGCAATAACAAACAGGAAATGAGCATATCTGAACACAAAGTTTTATTAAGAATAAACCATGTTTAAATTATTTGGCTGAATGTATAACAAAAAGGGACAGAGTTTGAATTGGGATGGGGGTGGGGGAGGGAAGACACCCCAGCTGTCCAGAGCTCTTTTGTGAGCCATTTACTGAGTTCAGTGATAACATGTGAGCATAATTAAAGGGATAGGATCTCAGGCTGAAACACTAGAAGCTGTTATCAATCCTTGCCTCTTTAAAGGTCATGGCTTCTCCAGGAATCCTGGGAATTGCAGTTTGATGAGGTGTTGAGAATTCTCTCCAAGAGATCCTTACACACCTCACAAAAAATTTAACTCACAGGTTTCTGTTTTAAACCAATGTAAATTTGTTATGTCCACACAGTATCGAAACCTCTGATAAACTTGGTGGTAGGTTGCACCACAGACATTTCTCTTGATGGATTTGTTTCTATGGTAAAATGTTATACCTGAATGTTCTCCAGCATATCCATAGAACCCCCACATTCAAAACAAGGTTTCCAAAAGCAAGTTGCCTGTTGTCTCGTCTTAAAGCTATTTGAACAAATATATCAAGAGAAAGAAGAGTGGTCAGAACTCAAGAAAAGAAGAAATGCTTTTTCATATGACCAAAAGTTTGCTCATTTAAACTGGATGTGTGAGTGGCAACGATGGCAGCTGCAACAAAAACTGGGATGGCTTCCCACATGCCAACCACTCTATGGTGACATTTTCAGGGTACCTGTAGATTGCCCCCATCTATTGATTCTGTTAGCCCTGCTGTGTGAATGGAGAACTTCAATTGGATGTTCTATGAAGAAATTAACAATGGTTAATTTCTCTTGTGCATGCAAGACTCACAGCAACCACATAAAAAAGAAAATGAACAAACAAATGGCTAGAGCCTGAACTAAATGACAATGATGGAGGGCCTCCAAAATAGGAGTCTACAGGGAGCAATTCATAGATTTCAGGGCACCAATTCCATGACTACCTACAGCCCATTTTCCTTTTCTTCCCAGATCAAGTAGTGATCAAAGAGGCAAAATACTTTCCTCCAAAATTTAAACAGGAAGAGAGAGTGGGGATTGTCCTAAAAATGAAGACAAAGAGGGAGAAACACAGTTGACTATTTGCTACGCATCATGTTGGACACATCCCTGATGTTTAGAAGAGTGCAGTGCCCTGTTAAATTTTTCCAGCTTTCTTTAGGATTAAGACCATTAAAAGCAGGCCAACAACTCCAGTGCAGCAACGGACAAAGTGTTGTCGTAGATGGTGATGACTGTTGTCAGTGCAGGTTGCAGGTTTAGGGTTGCATGCGCGTATCCTACAGGGACTTAGAAGGGTTAAAGTAAATTACAGTACTTTAAGTAGAAGCTGAAGATTAATTATTATGTTGGAATCGGTTTACAGAGAATACACCATAACGATATCTGGGTAACAATGAGGGGAAGCAGCCTGGCTTGAGGTCCACTTGATGAGCTGGTTGCTATAGAGAGAAGAAGAAGAAGAGAGAGAACTCATGAGCCACATTTTAAAGAGGCAGAGCCTGCATTTCTTGTACTGGTTTTGATTTTCTTAGTAGCCCCGAGATACAGCTAGTGAGATCTCGACGGTACAGTAAATTATACTGTGGCTGCAAATATATAATAAATTAAATCAGTTAGATTAATTGATTTAAAATACTTTTAAACAAGGACCTCCCAATGAATCAGGGAACAATTTTAAGAGTTGGGTTTTTTTTAAATGAGGGCTTATAAAAACTAGAGATAGCACAGCACCTTCAGAGGCATTCTCCCTGTCCTCTTATAGTGAGAGAACGCTTCTTCTAAGATGATGCCTGCTACAATATACCAGGCTTATCTAAAAATCAAAGGAAGTGTGCTTCAGAAATACAGCTTTTCCCCATGTGCAGTTCGTTCATTCAATCAATCAATCAATCAATCAACTAAAACTCAACTAAGCTGGCCCGGACTGACTCTCCATACATATTCATATAGGAAGGAGTGACATGTGGTCCATAAAATATGTCACAAATTTTATGGGGAGGAGGGTAAGTAGGGAAGGTCAGTGGTCAGGAACAGAGCACATACTTTTCATGGAGAAGGTTCTCATTTTAACCACTGAGGAGCCCAGTGCTATTTTTCTAGAAAACAAGGTGCCGGAACACACCATGAATGCCTCCCTTGTTGTCTTAGAATGGCAATAGCACCCACCTGAGAGCTGCTGGAACTGAGTTCTGGTGAGCTCTGGCTGAAAAAAAGCCCTGGAGGAGCTACTGCTGAAGTAGACTGTACTGAATAGATGGACTAATGGTCTGTAGCATGAAGGCTGTTCATATGTTCATTTCAAAGTTACAACAGCCAGAATAGTAAAATATTTCAAAGGAAAGGGATGGCAGTTTTTGTAAGTGGGCAGTTTTTGGCATTAAAGGGAGGCCTTGCTTCCAAACCTTCCTAAGAGAATAACTTGTGGAATGCCTGGATACGTCACCTCGGCAGCTCTTGCCATCTTCCTGCAAGGTCCCTGTTACGCAGCTGCATAGAGGCCCATCCATCTGGCTTGTACATATCTGTTCACAGCCTCCATTGTCTTCACACCAGTCTAAACCTAAAACACAAGATGTAAAAAATGAAAGTGGAATATTTCCAATAAGGAGGAATGGTCTGGGTCACAGTGACACTGTGAAGTTACCACTGCTTCATATTAAAACTGATTTTTACACAGTGATGCTGGTTTATGGCTAGTCAGGCTCTGAACCCTTCCACCTTCAATGCTCAAAACTTTTTCCTGCTACCTTGGGGACCAGAGAGATTATTAACAAAGGCAGAATTCTGTCTTTGCAACATGCTGAATCCCACCACTGTAGCCATGGAGTAAAGTAAACTCATCATCCTTCAGGAAATTGAAGAAATGCCAGACTTACGCTTCCTCCTGATTGGCCCCACAGAGATGATCTGCTCATTGAGCTCTTTGGTATAGTCATTGGCCCTCCTGGCGTTCTGAGGACAGTTCTGACCAAACAAGGAGAGAAGATTGCTGTAAGTGTGTGCACTCTATAAATCCACCTAGAAATCGCCATGAAGACTTAGAGCAGGTGTGGCCCACCAGATGTTGTTGGGCTCCATGTCCATCATCCAGGGATGATGGTAGTCCAACAACATCTGGAGAGCATAGGTAATCTTCCTGGTGATTCCAGAGTTTAGGGGTGACTACTGAGATATCCGGGACGCGGATGGCGCTGTGAGTTAAACCACAGAGCCTAGGACTTGCCTATCAGAAGTTCAGCGGTTCAAATCCCCACAATGGGGTGAGCTCCCGTTGCTCGGTCCCTGCTCCTGCCAACCTAACAGTTCAAAAGCACGTCAAGTGCAAGTAGATAAATAGGTACCACTCTGGCAGGAAGGTAAACAGCGTTTCCGTGCGCTGCTGTGGTTCGCCAGAAGCGGCTTAGTCATGCTGGCCACATGACTCAGAAGCTGTATGCAGGCTCCCTTGGCCAATAAAGTGAGATGAGCACCGCAACCCCAGAGTCGGCCACGACTGGACCTAATGGTCAGGGGTCCCTTTACCTTTACCTTACTGGGATATCCATAATGCACCACCATCCCTCAAAATGCATGCATTTCCCCATCTACACAGATGCTATTGCTGTGGGTTTCCTGCATTAGTTGGGGGTTTGGACTAGATGACTTCTGAGGTCATTTCCAACTCCATGATTCTGTCACAGGGCACTTTGAGTAGAGTCTCTCCTGCAGACCATAATCACCGAGGTGAGCTTATATAAGATGGTCAATGACCACTGTGTAGAGTCTAAGCTATGCAAATCTACCGGGCCAGGATATAACGCTCCATGCCACCTACTATTTTGCAAGAGTATCTTTCTGAGTCGCAAAGTGAAACGGCACAGTGGAGGTGAACCTCATCGTAATCACCGATGAACTTGAAGACAGTGACGTGAAAGCGGCAAGTCAGTGAAACTCCGTTTTCTTCAATCCCAATTGTGTTGTCCTTTATATTCTGGCACCTACAACGCAAAAAAAAAGTCCCAGCTCTCAACACAGTTGTGAGGAATCTCTGGAATTTCCAAAACCGAGGAAGGAAAAAGGTTGTCACTTACCCTTCTTCAATGATGAAGTATCTGAGCTTGTCATTGCTGTCTCGGGAAGGTGTTGCATAACATTTATTCAGCATTAGGATGAGATGGGTGGAATCTGCCCCAAGGACAAAGACGCCAACATACAGCACGTCACGGGTGGTCAGCACCACTTCACCTTGCCGGTAGGGATGCTTGTAGGATGAGTTTTTGTACAGTGCCATCTTGGTTGTGAAACTGCCTTCTTGTGTAGGCACTGTCAGATTAATCACACTGAAAAGGAGAGTTATAAAACTTAACGAAGAGTGAATAAAGAAAATATCCTGGAGAAACCATGGAGCAAGTTTGCTGAGTCAAAGAAGCAAGTCTAAATCTGCCTCAGGTGCCTATTTATTTATTAATTATATTTTGCCCTTTCAAGTATATTATCAGGATGGATTACAATAAAATGCTAAAACACCATAAAGTGATGAATGCACTAAAATAAGCTGTAAACAGCAATTCAGCTACCTCATTCTTCAGACAAATAGCATGGATTATGACTCGCTGTTCTTTTTCCTAATTATTTTATGGTGTTTCTTATGCATACATGAGAACTTTGAAACATTAGGCATCAGAGGCCTCTACAGGAGGGACAATATCTTTTGCAGTCCCAGGTACAAACATATGAGGATCAAAGAGTGATCAGAGCAGTACTAAGTGGGCAGTTGGAGGGCTGGTTCACATCCTATGCTAGTGTAAGTTTTTGCAAACATAGGGGACACCCCATGGGTCTCCAGTCACAGAAACCACATAATGGGTGTATGCCTGGAGCTCATGAATTGGATAATTTTATTTATTTATTTATTTATTTATTTATTTATTTATATCCCGCCCATCTGGCTGAGTCTCCCCAGCCACTCTGGGCAGCTCCCAATCAAGTCTTAAAAACAATACAGCATTAAATATTAAAAACTTCCATAAACAGGGCTGCCTTCAGATGTCTTTTAAAAATAGGATAGCTGCTTATTTCCTTGACATCTGATGGGAGGGCGTTCCACAGGGCGGGCACCACTACTGAGAAGGCCCTCTGTCTGGTTCCCTGTAACCTCACTTCTCGCAAAGAGGGAACCGCCAGAAGGCCCTCGGCACTGGATCTCAGTGTCTGGGCTGAACGATGGGGATGGAGATGCTCTTTCAGGTATACAGGACCGAGGCCGCTTAGGACTTTAAAGGTCAGCAGCAACACTTTGAATTGTGCTCGGAAACGTACTGGGAGCCAATGCAGATTTCTCAGGACCGGTGTTATATGGTCCCGGCGGCCATTCCCAGTCACCAGCCTAGCTGCTGCATTCTGGATTAGTTGTAGTTTCCGGGTCACCTTCAAAGGTAGCTCCACGTGGAGCGCATTGCAGTAGTCCAAGCGGGAGATAACTAGAGCATGCACCACTCTGGAAAGACAGCCCACGGGCAGGTAGGGTCTCAGCCTGCGTACCAAATGGAGCTGGTAGACAACCGCCCCGGACACAGAATTAATCTGCGCCTCCATGGACAGCTGTGAGTCCAAAATGACTCCAAGGCTGCGCACCTGGTCCTTCAGGGACACAGTTTCCCCATTCAGGACCAGATTGCGAACCACCTGAAAGAGTCTCCTGCTGCTGTTTTCTGCAGATGCAACAGAGGTGAAGACGGTCCTCTTTGCTGTCACCATCGCCACTTGGTAGGCTCGACATTGAACTGTAGCCCGTGTCTGGTCTGATTCAGAATGAGTTTTCCACCACCAGCGCTCTAGCTGTCTCAACGATTGCATTTATGCCAATTTTCAGACAGTGCTCTCATGAACTCAGACACAGGAATGACATCAGCATTTAAAGAAAGAAAGAAAGAAAGAAAGAAAGAAAGAAAGGAAGGAAGAAAAGGAAGTCAAATCCAATATAACATGTGAATTGACTCCATATATTCCTGTGGGTGTCACCTCAGAGGATCCTGTACCCTTCCAAATAAAGTCAACGAGAGCAGGGCCTTTATCCTTTATCCCACCCAAATGACCTCTCCATGTGTACAAAGGAAGCAGGTGTTTCTATTACCTGAGCATTGGTCTCACAACGGAATCCAAAGAAATTTTGATGTCAAGCTCATAAGCACAGGAGAATTCAACATTGATAGTTCGGTCCCGAGTGATAATGTTTCCAGTGTTATTTGCACTTTCAATCCAGACTGTGTTTTTGTACATGATGTGGGTGCTGTTGGACTGCACAGAGGGGAAAAAATGTGGGGGTGGGGAGATACACGTAGAAGGATTAAAGGCCTCTCAAATGTGCAGATGCCCTCTCGACACTTGTATTGTTCTCTTTAACAGTATCCAAAGCCATAATCTGTGCTTTAGACTTAACAGCAATATGTGTCTACTCAGTAGTAACTTGCATTGAGTTCAGTGGAACTTACACTAAACTGGGTGTATATAGAATTGCAGTCTAAATTTTCTTGCTTAAGTTGAGTGAAATGGAGGGAACCATCCAACAGAAGACTAACCCAAAAGAAGCTACCTTGAGTGAAGAATCTCTTTATGTGGTCTGTGGATAGTCTGAGAAGAATGGAAGTCTGGCAAGTTGAGGAATCAATTAAAAAGTAGATGATCACTTGACAAAACATTCTTGAATTTGTGGATAGCCCTAAATAAAATTTCAGGATTACTTATAATAAATTAAAATTATGATAAAAGTCTATTATATATCATAAGCTTCCTAAGGGCAGGACCTGCCTGTCATGGACTGGTTGGATACAGAGGAATAGTGGGAGGAACCAGTTGGGGAACCAACAAGGGAGGAAGGCTCAGAGCTCAGGGAATGCTGGTGGGACAATGATGAGTGATCAGAGGGAGAAGAGAGGGAAGAGGAGATGTCGGAAGCTGAGGAAGTAACAGGACCAAGAAGCAGAGATGGGTCAGGCTGTTGAAGAGTCATGGGGGTCTCCCCCTCCTTCTCTTGGAGATTAGCTCCCCTACCTGCTTGCCTCCCAGAACCAGAAGAGGCATTAAAAGGGCAGAGTATAGTTTGGCGACACACAAACACAGTCTCAGATTGCTTGGGAAACACCCTGGAGAGCAGGAGACTTAGGCAGCTGTGGGGGGTAGGGATTTTCAGTCTCAGCAACTGCTTCATGGGGGCAAAACCTACTGGAGATGAGTTGCTGTGTTCATTAGGCCTGGCACTCATGGGCAGATCATGGGTTTTGTTAATAAAGAGTTAACTCCAACTTGCACAGTGTGATATACTGCTGCTGGCTCTCCTGACATGGCTTAATTTTTTTGCTTATGAAACTCTGTAAAGTACCATATACACCAGTGGTGCTGTATGTATATAACATTCAGAATGCATTTAATGATGTTTTGATGGCAGGGATGCAAAACCTTTCACGGCAGGACTCTAGCGACACAAGCCCAGAACAATCAATGAGCTGAAGAAGAGTGTCATGAGAATAGGAGCAAATCCAGAGTTCCTCAAACATTCTGACCTGCACTATGTTTCCACAGTTGCCCTTGGTGTTATTTATCTGAAAGGAGATGAAATCTTCTCCTTCAATGCCAGGACAGTGGCGGTCATTGATGCGCACCCCTTCTCTTTCAAAACCCAGCTGAAACAGCTTGCACTTTGAGATGGACACCTCCATCTGGGCAGCTTTGCAGGTCACCTCAGCATCCAGGATGTCTTGCGTGTCTGCAATGAAAAAGAAAAGGAGTGGGGAGCTGTGTGCAGATAAGGGCTAGGCAATTGGTAAATGGATTTCTATCACATTTGCTAGTCAAAATACCATTTAAAGGCCACAACACGGTCGAAAATAGAAGTAAAGGACGTGAATATTAACAATTCATTTCAATCAAAGCCTTAGTCCTGATGGCCAGCTGATTTCCTCCTCTATTATTTATGCAAGACTGAGGAAGTCAGATTAATTGTAAGATTAATTCATTAAGATGGAAGTGCATGGTGCCTAGGAATGACTGTTTGCATATATTAATGGCTTATCTAGTGTAAAGCTAGTCTAATATTTATATGCAGGTGATAGGTGCAGTTGTACAAAACTGCAGTGTGGTGTCAGCAGTATGCAGATAACATCCAGCTCTATTTTAAGTTTTACATCAGCTTCTGGTTCAGCACTCAATCCTTAGAGAGTACAAGTTGGAAATAAATCTCAAGAAGATGGTGATTTTGATGGATTGCAAGCCAAATGTGAGAGGTCTAGGAGTCTGTCCTGTCCTGGGTAAATTACACCTACTTAGAAGGGTACTCCTTGACCTTGTTTTGCTTCTTGAGTTTCAGGTGACAAATAGATTTAACCCATTTTAATTGACTCTTAATCATTGTTTAATTGAATCTTAACCATTGTTAGCCATGTAGTCATGCCATACAATAATCTCTCGTGTTGATTACTACAAAAGCTGTTTTGTATATCCTTTTAAATTTGGAGATGGTATTTGATTTGTCACCAAGGAAGTTTTTTTTGCCCATTCATGTGTTCTTATGTGATCTCCCAAAATACACCTGGCATTCTACCAGGACCAGAAGTCTTAAGCCAGACTCTCTGATGGGGATGCAGAATAAATCCCCTTCCCTCCTCAATTCAGGTTTGATGGACAGTTCCAAGTGATATTTTCCAGGACTGGCGAGCTGAGGCTACAAGCAATTGACATTCACAGACAGCAAGGAAGATAGCTGTGCAAAATTGAATTTTAATGGTGTTAGGATTTTTTTAAATAAAAAAACCCCTGTGTATTTGTATGGTAATCAGTTGAAGCCTCGGGACTCAGGGCAAGTGGAAAACAAGGCTGGATGAAGCAATGGAAAATTCTGCCATAGGAAACAATCCAGTGCTGAGACCCAAGGGAGAAAAATGAGATGAAATAAGGTGATGAAATAATGGGCCATTTTTATGTTCCCGTGGACTGACTCACCACTAAGGTAACTTGGCATTGCACAAACTACAATTGTTTGAACTAGAACAAAATGTATCTTAGCTGAAGAACAATTCAAAGTTTCTGAGACAATATGAAACTTCCACCCCGTCCTAAAAAATTCCATTCAAATCATTAATTTCTGTCATCTTAGTCCTATGCTCGTTCTGTAACATCCTTGTATCTAAGAGCAGGGACAGTATTCCAGAAACAAAAATTTAGCGTCATCACACCTACAAAAGTGATGTCTGATACTTCCTAAACTAGGGGTGGAAAAGATGGAAGATATAAGGGGAAAAACCAAGATTCCTTAAGACTACACATACTTGATACTATTTGCGCGGAGAAAAACTCAAGGCTGCATCCAATGTTCTCCATCCACTAGTGCAAGAGTTTAAAAGTTGAGCAACAAAGAAATCAATGCGGCGCCTGCAATTGTGGAAGCTGTTTGTGAAACAGCCACCCCTTGTTGTCCAATAGCTGATTTTTGTGTGTAGAATCTGTTTCTTAACCATCTTTGGAAATGTACTTTGTTTTTCTTTGCGCAACAGTTTTCTGGCAGTGGAACAAATACACTGCTAGGTGACTTTAACTTAATGGTGCATTGCATACAACACTCAGCCAACATGAAAACCAGATCTACAACCTCAAGAAACCTTGAAATTAGAAGCACCAAGACTGACATCACAAGTTACTCGCTGGACGGTAGCAAACTTTCTTCTGAACTTGGGGTAGCCAATATGATGCCTCCCGAATGCTAAGCTCTCTTCAGCCCAGCCACCATGGCTGATGGTGAGGGATGATGGGAGTTGTAAATCAACAACATCTAGAGAGGCGACCCATGTCCTAAACTAAGGGATGGTAGGGAGAGAGAAGGCTGGACTGTTCTTAAAGGGAAAATGCACTGTTAATTCACTGTGCCTGAATCATATATGTGAAGGACACAGTGATACATGCAGAAGATCATGCCAGAGACTTAATGCTGGTTGTGACTGTCTAGTAAAGTTTTAATGCCCCAGAGTGGCTGGGGAAACCCAGCCAGATGGGCGGGGAATGAATGAATGAATGAATAAATAATTGAAATTGATATTTCACATCACCTGGATAGTATCAATGATACAGGCACACTGCCTGCATAAGTGGGGAATCTATGAAAACACATGGAGTTGGGGGCTGCAGGTTTTAGGCAAGCCTACAGTAAGTAGAGAATGCTTGCTGTTTGGATCACCTATGAATGTATTTATGCGCTCTCTGTAAGAGGGATGTGTTAGAGATGCTTTCCCAGTCACCCCTTGGCAGCTTCAACACGGCCACTGGTAACTCACTGTTTCCATAGGGTGGTGGTTCTATGCAGCCACACAGCTCTCCTCCATTCTCCACTTCACAAGTTCTGTTGGGACAATCTGCCCCCACACAGGGATCTTCAACCACTCCTGCTAAAAAGGAAAAAGGAGGGGGAAACAAAGAAGGACAACCAATTTATTTTAAGACCAGTTGCATGAGCTGTTTATCACTTACACACAAAGTGCTAACACAAGAGAAGACCTTCCCCATAGCTAGGGAACCAGCATAAAGGTAAAGGTAAAGGGACGCCTGACTATTAGGTCCAGTCGTGACCGACTCTGGGGTTGTGGCGCTCATCTCACTTTATTGGCCGAGGGAGCCAGCGTACAGCTTCCGGGTCATGTGGTCAGCATGACTAAGCCGCTTCTGGCGAACCAGAGCAGTGCATGGAAGCGCCATTTACCTTCCCACCAGAGCGGTACCTATTTATCTACTTGCACTTTGATGTGCTTTCAAACTGCTAGGTTGGCAGGAGCAGGGACCGAGCAATGGGAGCTCACCCCGTCACGGGGATTCGAACCACCAACCTTCTGATCGGCAAGTCCTAGGCTCTGTGGTTTAACCCACAGCGCCACCCGCGAGGGAACCAGCATACTTGGGCCTTTTTTCCTATGTTAACCTGCCTTTGTTGGGGAGATGTGAATTAATCTAAGGTGTAATCAATCATTTGTCATAATCAAGGGAATTATGTTAGGTCTTTATATTCCACTCCAAGTATTTGGCTACAATTCATATATTTCAGAGTCTAAGATCTAATGTGTTGGGGATTTTTTATTTTTTATTTTTTTACAATGCCTCTTGCTTCCCTGAAATAAAAAGTTAGCACCCAAGACTGTTACATGCTGAAAGTCTTGCCTTGATAGCCTTTTATTGTGCTCCCGATAAATCTGCAATAATGTAGCTGGTCAACAGCAGGATCTAACATGCCAAATGTGCCCTTGAACGGCTGTTTTATTGACTTAGGGAAACCCACTGTGACAAAGTTTAAGAATTTCTCAGTAGGAAGATGGAACTAATCCTAGCTCGCTTACAGCAATTTTCCTTCTCAATCCATTCTGTGCTGAGAATTCCAAAGGAGCGGCAGGCCTCCCCATAGGCTGCCAGAGAGCCACAGAGCTGGTACTTCTTCTGGTTGTAGCAGCCGTCAAGAAAGCAGGATTCATAGAAGGGCATTGGGTCCAGCAGCCCGTAACAAGGCTGAAAGAAGCCTTTCATGTCAGTAAGCTTGAGGCAGTAGCTGTCGCTCTGCAGGACCTGGATCTGCACGTTGTCGCAGGTGGCAGCGTACTGAGCGTATTGAAGCTCATTGCAGCTGGAATCACAAAAACCACAAAAGACCGCAGAATACTGAAGATGTGGAAAGGTGTACAAGAAGCATGGGGAAGAGCACAGTGGTGGAAGCTGTATCAGGAAACCATGTCTGTGTGCAGTGAGGCACTAGGGCTAGAGTATGGAACATATTTCTAGGCAGTAAGTAGTCTCCATGGCTGTCCATTGGCTTTTCTCAACAGGAGGGACTATAAAAAGCCTTCCTACGTGGGCTTGGACTTTGCTTGAGCAATAATAGTTTCTGCTGGCTGAGGCTTGTTCCCTGACTTGGCCACCTCACCTCTGACTCCTGGCATGATTCCTAGCTCCCACTTGCTTATGACCCAGCTCTGGCACATGAATGCGTGTTGCATGCAGAAGCTGCATTTCCTGGCCCCCGAAAGAACCAAAGCCCGCCCTGTCTTATCTTTCATTAAATAGACATTGCCTAGGCCTTTTAAGATTTTCACTGCAACCAGAAATATCTAAAAGTCTACTTGTTTTTATATAATATATAAAGAGACAAGTGCAAATTGGGATTCTGCAGTCTCCGAACTCTTGTCCCGGCTTTTGCAGCAGGCTCAGGAAATGAGAATTTATCCTTTCCTTCACCTAGAGCAAGAGTGGGGAACCTCAGGGCCCCAGGGGACTGAATGCAGCCCGCCAGGAATCTTTTATTGTAGTAGTGGTGGTAGTAGTAGTAGTAGTAGTAGTAGTAGTAGTAGTTATCCTGTCTGTAGTAGCAGTTATCCTGATAGGACTCAAGTCGGCTTACAAATAAAAACAAGAATCGCTAAAAACATAGAAAAAACTATCATTAAAAAACAATTAAACACTGATAGTATCTAAACTAAATACATATCTAAAATCTGTTTAAAACACAGCAATAATTACAATAAGCACCAGCCGTTTAATTAAAAGCAGTCAATTCCCCCAAGCCTGTCAGAACAGTAATGTCTTTGCCTGCTGGCAGAAGGACAGCAAGGAGGGAGCCAGTCTAGCTTTTCTAGGGAGGGTGCTCCAAAATCTGGGAGCAGCTACTGAGAAGGCCCTCTCCTCCATCTCCACCAAGCACGCCCTTGAGGGTGGTGAGACCAAGAGAAGGGAATCCCCTGAAGATCTCAAAACCTGAGCAGGGTTGTATGAAGGAATACAGTCTTTCAGACCACTCAAACCTAAGCCATGTAGGGATTTATAGGTGATAACTAGCGCTTTGAGTTGTGCCTGGAAACAGACCACCAGTAGCCTGTTCAGTTCCTCTAGCAAGGGAGTCTATGCTCCCTATAATCAGGTCCTGTCAGCAATCTGGCTGCAGCTCTTTTGAGGCAGTTGTGGTTTTTGAGCACATAGTGTGTGTTACAGCAATCCAAATGGGATGTCACTAAGGCATGGGATGTAACTGTGCCACTGTGGCAAAATCAGACATCTCAAGGAATGGGGGCAGCTGGTGCACTAGCTTTCACTGTGCAAATGCACTCCTGGCCATTCATGTTCAGGGCTGAGTCCAGGACCATCCCTAAACTGCGAACCTGTGTCTTCAGGGGAAGTGTTACCCCGTCCAGCAGAGGCTGAATCCCTATTCCCTGTTCTGCCTGCCGACTGACCAAAAGCACCTCTATCTTGCCTGGATTAAACTTCAATTTGTTCACCCTCATCCAGTCCTTTACTGATGACAGACGCTGGTTTAGAACCGAGACAGCTTCCTTGGCTCTAGGTGGAAAGGAGAAATAAAACTGAGGTGGAATCTACACACATAGAAAAAACGTTGTGAAAATGCTTTTAAAAAAAAGTTTTGGGGAAAAATACATTGACTTTGCCATAGCTCACTGTCGCCACCTAGTGTCACATTTGTATATTGCACTTTACAACACACTTAAAACGTTTTATTTGTAGCTGTATAGCTGAGTCCTGAGTGTCATCAGCATTCTGGTGGCACCGAACCCCAACAACCTCTCTTAGTGGTTTTTGTTAAATAGCATGGGGGACAGATCAGAACCCTGAGGGACCCAGCAGGCCAACAGGAGTCCCCCAGCACCACCTTCTGGGTTCACCTCTCTAGGAAGGAACAAAGCCACTGTAAAACAGTGCCTCTGAGTCCCATCCCATCTCTAAACCACACCTCTTCTCCTCAGGCCATGTCTTTCATTGGTGCTGCTTCACATCCTTCTCAATTGCTTTTGTCTTGCCCTGCCCTCAATTGCTTTTGCCTGGCTGGAATGTGCAGCCCTTTCCCCAGCCCCCCTGCATCACTCCACGTACCTCTTCTGCATGCCATTCGTCTTCCAACTCTGTGCCAGGAACACACTGCTCACCACCGGCTTCCCTCGCAAGGTGACATAATCATCTGTGCGATCCCCGTTGAAATTCCCGCAAAGGCCACATACTTTATTCTGCAGTCGCTCACTGATGGCGATTTTGATGACGTTGAAGCCATTGTAATGGATCTGGATATCTGGGCTGGTATCAATGACCAGGAAGCCCTCTATGCTGTAGATTTTGGTTGACAAACCAGTCACAAAGGGGACGTTCACCTGTGTCCCATTCACCTGATCAAGAAATCAAGCAATATTTCATGCTACATTGATGCATCTTTTTCTCTTTTCTGGCTAACTTATAAAAATGGACAAGATCATATGAAAAATTGTAAGACTCAGTTTTGAAAGGTTAAACTCCTATGTTCAAATTGCGTGTGAGAACTTGATGCCAGTCATCTTACACAATGAAGACATCAAATTAAGCTGATTGGTTTAGCTGAATTTGGGAATGAATAAATTTGAATTTCAGAATTCAGTGTTCCAAATTCCCAACCAGAAACTTTCACAAAAAAAGATTGAGACTTTCAGTTAGCAAGGAAAGCCAACTCTTCAGCTAGTGCTAGAGGGGCTTTCAATTTCAGAGGCTACAGGTTCAGGTCCTAGTTAACAGTCAAGACAAGCACCTAATATTAGCCTAAGTAGGTCATAACACCAGGATCAGATTTTCTGTACCTAAAGGGTGAGACCATGGACTTCAAGAAAGTGACAGATTGGAGCAAGGATTCAGTCTTAGCTCAAACCATCCCACTTTCCCTGGAGCCTGTTATCATCACTCTAATATCCCAAACAATCCACTCCAGAAATTGCAGTTGAGCCTCCATCTTTGCAACACTGCCAGAGCCTACTGAATCAAGCACGGCCCCTTTAAATATAGGGTCTTTCATTAGTGGGGGTTAAGGTAGCCACCTGGAATGAACTGCAGCCTGTTTAGAACCTCGGTGAACTCCAGATTGCTACTGAAGCACCGTCTGATCCTTGCTGGTGTGTAACTTCTCTACGCATCCAGGAATCTACTTGGATGTGTCAAGAGCCCTGTTTGTACATGAACTCTTGACAGAACACCCCCTGGCCCCATGGGCTTGCTTACTACCTGGAATAGGATGCTGTGTATCATTACTGGAGTCTTGGGATTTAGACAGTTCCTAGGGGACCACCTATGGATTAAATTGCCCCTGATGGCTCTTGTTCTGCTTCCACTGTTAGGTGCAGAATGCTTCTGAATACCAGTTGCTAGAAACCACCAGAGGGGGAGAGCACTCTTATGCTCAGGTCCAGCTTGTGGGCATCTAGTTGGCCACTATGAGAACAGGATGCTGGGTCTATGGACCACTGGTTTCATCCAGCAGGCTCTTACGATCTAGCATTCTAAATGGGTCAGTACTGTACCTTGACAGTATTACGATCGCTGATAAGAATCTGTTCTTCATTGATATAGAAGTAAACAGGTGAGATGACTGTCAGGTTTGGGGACGACCACTTATCAAAATTGATGATGAGCTGGAAGGAGACATCAGGGAGTTTCTGGCAGATTGTGGAGAGGACAAAGGCACAGTTGGCAGGGAAGTGGAGGAAGGCACCATCAAACGTGCGGAACACCCCTCCACCTGCCGCAATGCAGTAGGAACTCTTCTTGCTGAAGCAGCCACGAACTCCATTCCGGAGGGCGCACTCCTCGTCCGACTTGCACTGCCGTGGGTCGCACTGGATGAGGTTGCGGCGGAAACAGCGGCAGCGGCGGGTGCAGTCGCTGCTCCAGAAGAGCTGCTTGGGCTGCAGGAAATGAGCAAGAAAGAGAAGGAAGCAATAACGTGAACAAAACATGAAACATGAAAAGCAATAACATGAAAACCCACAGTGGATCCATCCAAAAAAAGGTGTACATGTGGTCACAATGAATGCACAAATCAAAAACAAGAATCCAAAGTACATGCACTTTTTTCAACACCTGAGGTTCTGGGTCCTGTTCTGTGCCTGCTGGCTAACAAGTGGGGTGGGTGGGTCTGAGGAGTGATACCATTTTGGTCATGTTACCAACCCTACAGAACACTGTACCCAGGAAAGCATCCCATCATTTAAAGCACATTTCCACTCCCTCAGGGAGTTCTGGGGATTAGAGTTTGTTAAGGGTACTGGGAATTGTAGCTCGGGGGGGGGGGAATAAGCTACAGTTCCCAGGATTCTTTGAGGAAGAGAGTGTACACAGCCATTGTCTGTCAGCCTTCTAGATACGATCTGACTCTTCTGGGAGGCTTTTAGTGGTGGCTGACTGCCATTTCTGAATGTCCTTCTTGATGAGATTGTGTCTTCATATTGATTTCATTTCTTTGCTTACTGCTTTGATGGGGTTATGCAGGTTTGCTTCAGTGCTTTATTGTTTGCTGTTGCGCCAATTTTGTTTAGTGTTGTGATGGTCCAGATTGTTTTAATTATACCCACATTGTTAGCTGCTTTGATTTCTTTTGAAGAGAAAGTGAGAGATACATTTAAAAAAGAATCAAATGAAATTGTTTTTTCCCACATTCGGACAATCGTGTGTATTAAGACCCCTACCACGTTTCAGCTGTTTGATGTGATATACCTGCATTGAGAAAAAGAAATGATTCTCCCTGGTCAGAAAAGCAATGTGAGAAATGGATCCCATTCATACAGAGCAATGCTAGCTACAAAACAAGAATTATTTTTGTTGTTGTTACTACTGCTAGGTCCAGGGTACCTTAAGAACTCACAGAGCCCTATATCCCAGCCCGAGCACTGAGGGAATCTGGAGAAGTGCTGTTGTCTGCTTCATTATAGAGGCCCAAGAAGAAGAGTTTGGATTTGATATCCTGCCTTTCACTCCCTTTAAGGGGTCTCAAAGCGGCTAACATTCTCCTTTCCCTTCCTCCCCCACAACAAACACTCTGTGAGGTGAGTGGGGCTGAGAGACTTCAAAGAAGTGTGACTGGCCCAAGGTCACCCAGCAGCTGCATGTGGAGGAGCAGGGAAGCAAACCCGGTTCCCCAGATTACGAGACTACAGCTCTTAACCACTACACTACACTGGCCTCCACTAGGAGCTGAGCATTTAGTGTTGCTATTTCCATCCTGCAAAACACTCTTCCAAATCTGTATTTGGCAGCCATCCTTACTATGGGCTTTCAAGAATCTCCTGAATACCTTTTTATGCCAGTACACTTGAGCGGTTGCCTAAAAATGTCCTTTAAGTAGCCACTCATTTGTATACTACCTTGGTGTTTTGGGAGAGGGCAATATATAAATACTTTTTAGAAACAAAGACCATCATCATCTCTTCAAGCAGATAGTGACCTGACCCTAAAACTTACTTTGGTTTGGTTTGGTTTCAAGACATTTGCAACAGAACAGGGCTCTGCAGACTCTTGTGCTGATTGACATAGAGTGTTCCTTGCAACCAGGAGAGGGCAGTCATGTAGTACCTATTTAAACAGACACCCTGCATGTTGTCAACTGATCTGCGGGTGGCTGAAAACCCACTGGCAGGGACTTTAGGCATTTATCACACTGAAACCTGTGGATTTTGTTTGTGTGCTTCTCCCCAGAGTACATGCAGGCATCCCAAAGGGTCGTTTCTTGGAGAATGGCTGCCTATCTGTGATGTGATGCCTGTGTGTGCTCCTAAATAGGGCCAGAAAATCCTTAAAGTGTGCACTAGTAGGCTTGGCAAAGAGCAACAGTCATACATAAAAAAGAAAAACTTGGGACTTTCATTATATTAAGTGCACATCTGGATTCATCTGTCAGCCTCCTTCACAGATGCAGGTTCATCAGCTGGTGATCATAGCAGTGGGTGATGATTTGCATTTGTGACTTAGCTATTTTGGGTCAGCTGTCACTGACAGAACTTCCATATCACCTCACATCATCTCTAAAACATGGGTTATGCTCAGTTGTAACACAAAACTATGGTTTGGCCTTGCATGCATGAGCAGAGCCTCTTGCTTGTGCATTCCTGCTTCCTTCTCCATTGTTTGTCATTGTGTCTGAACACAGCAAACTATGGTTTATGCAAAGTACAGTTTGCCCTCAAACAAGGATCCTAATCAAGGAAATAAACAAGGTTTTGTATCCTGGTTTAAGGGCAGGCCATGGTTTGCTGAGAACCTAACAGTAAGTGAAGAAGTTCTGTCATGCAATGGAAGAAAAAAATGGCTGAACATGAGGCTCTGTTCGCACACACAATGCCAAACCATAGTATGGTGTTACATTTGAGTGAATCAAGAGTTGTAGGGTGGAAATAGTTCACATTCAATTGAGAGCTATCAATGGCTGAATAATCAAGTGGCATACATACATGTGTGAGCCTGCCCTTAGCCTAACTCAATTTCTGAACTATCGTAATTGTGGGAAAAGGTCGCTGTTTATTCACCATTCATCCCGATTTGTATGTCCAAAGTTTGCAGGTAGGTTAAACAACACAGGTTATCTACTGAGTTTTCATTCTGATTCATTTACAGGCAGGTTAGATGACATTGTGTCAAAAATTGTTTATGCCCCACTTTCTAGTGCATTTTCTCGACATTTTCCTTATCGCATAAAGTCCAATTTTGGGAGGAAGCAGCCAGGTTTGCTGCACAAGAGAATCAGCTTTAGTTTGACAACTTGAATTTGCCAGTATGTGACTGAATCCCACCTGAAAATACAGTGGTACCTCGGGTTAAGTACTTAATTCATTCTGGAAGTCCGTTCTTAACCTGAAACTGTTCTTAACCTGAAGCACCACTTTAGCTAAAGGGACCTCCTGCTGACGCCGGGCTACCAGAGCACGATTTCTTTTCTCATCCTGAAGCAAAGTTCTTAACCTGAGGTACTATTTCTGGGTTAGTGGAGTCTGTAACCTGAAGTGTATGTAACCCGAGGTACCACTGTAGTGACAGTCTGGAATAAAAGCATTGACACTTGCCTTTCCACCCAATCAGCCTTTTTCTTAGGAACTGGGCATGGGTGATGGGGGAAGGAATAGTAGAATCATAGAGTTGGAAGGGACCATGAGGGTGCAAGGAATGTACCATTGAGTAGTGCCAGAAAAAAGCACTGCTTCCAACAGACAAGGGCAAATGAATGAAAGGAGACTCTAGATCACTTCCCTATAAGTCAGCCAAAGCACTGCAAGGTCAGCAAGCTTTCCAGTGCTGCTTGCCTTCCTCCCCTTCCTCCAGGTTTGTTTTTACACACAACCTGACTTGAGGGCTTAATTCTGGCCGCCCAAAAAGGGGTGTGAAAAATTGCAAACCAATACTGCTCGCTGACACCTTTATCGCTCGTAAAAGCAAGGAAATTCAAAGTTACAGTTTCCACAGCAACCTCGCTTCTCTCCTCGTTCCAAACAGAGCTCAACAAATATCCTGTTGACCACCGATGTGTACTTTTGCAGAGGAGCACGCATTACATTCCACCCCTCTTGTTATTAGATTTATAGAATAATTGAGCGCATGAGCTTACTTCTCAGTTGATAAGGGGCTGCGGTAGCCACATTGTAAAAGAAAGTAACTGCTAGAAAGTGGAGAGGCAAAGCTGGCTACGCGAGACATTATTCGTGGCAGCCATCCTGCAGTCCGAACCGGCAATACAACAGACCTTGCGACAGGGTTGCAGTTATGACTTTGAAAGAAGAGGTAAAGGGTGTTTTTGAACATCAAAATAATCCCGTAACAAATTATCTCTACCCTTCAACATTTCACGGGAGACATGTAGGGTTGCTTGAGTAGTTCAGTTTCTAGGAATTCGGATACAAACTGATTGGATCTGCACCTTTTAGGTTGCATCCACATAGTGATTTATTCCATTCCCCCCAGAATTACCCTGCCTCTTAATTTTTGTATTATATATGGGCTTTCAAGTGACATAATAGTCACTTTTGGAAAACTGAAGGAACATAACATGTTTAGCACTCACTTCCATTTTATTTGATTCAGAAAAAAAGTCAATTTGCTGTCCCTTTACACTGGAAAATCACAGGAGCAGAGTGAGGAAATCTGGGGTGATATACAGGCATACAGTTCTTCCTTCCTCTTTTCATGGGGGAGCAGAAGGCATGTGCAGAAAGGGTGGGGGAGTAGTGATGTTGATCAATGACAATCATTGTTTTGCTGCAGCTCGCCCACTGGTGTGAATGAAATTTAGCACAGCGTGCCAGTATATCGGTCAAAAAGTCACAGTTCCATAATGCAACAGGTACTGCAGTGGGAAAGGAACATTAAAAATGAGCTAGAAGTGCTAGCATTATAATCAGGAAAACTAAAATATTATTCCCCACATCTGAATGCATCCTCAGACTAATGTGTGGATCAGAATGTAATTATCCTGATGCTGGAATCTCTTTTCTTGTAACTTGGAACCGAGATGATGGATTCAAGTTAGAAGAAATGAGATTCTGACGAAATATCTGCAAGAACTTTCTGGTGGTAAGAGCTGTTCGACAGCAGAGCAGACTCCTACAAGAGGTGCTGATCTCTCCTTCTTTGGAGGTTGTTGAGCAGAGGTTGGATGGCCATCAGTCACAGATGCTTCAGTTGACATTCCTGCATTGCAGGAGCTTAGACTAGAGATGAACCCCAGGGTCTCTTTAAAGGTAAAGGCAAAGGGACCCCTGACCATTAGGTCCAGTTGTGACCGACTCTGGGGTTGCGGTGCTCATCTCGCTTTATTGGCCAAGGGAGCCTGCGTACAGCTTCCGGGTCATGTGGCCAGCATGACTAAGCCACTTCTGGTGAACCAGAGCAGTGCACGGAAATGCCGTTTACCTTCCCGCTGGAGTGGTACCTATTTATCTACTTGCACTTTGATGTGCTTTTGAACTGCTAGGTTGGCAGGAGCAGGGACTGAACAACGGGAGCTCACCCCGTTCTCATCGGCAAGTCCTAGGCCCTGTGGTTTAACCCACAGCGGCACCCAGATCCCTAGGGTCTTTTTACGGCTCTACAATTCTATGATTATATGATCTTTCAAGTTTTGCGGTTCTCCAGATTTTCAATTCTTCAAGGCAGGGCTTGAGTCCTCATGCAAACAACAACAACAACAACTATTTACTATTTATACCCCGCCCATCTGGCCGGGTCTCCCCAGCCACTCTGGGCGGCTTCCAACAGAATAGTAATATACAATAATCTATTAAACATTAAAAGCTTCCCTAAACAGGGCTGCCTTCAGTTGCCTTCTAAAAGTCTGGTAGTTGTTTTTCTCTTTGGCATCTGGTGGGAGGGCGTTCCACAGGGTGGGTGCCACTACCAAGAAGGCCCTCTCCCTGGTTTCCTGTAACTTGGCTTCTTGCAGTGAGGGAACTGCCAGAAGGCCCTCGGCACTGGATCTCAGTGTCTGGGCAGAACGATGGGGGTGGAGACGCTCCATCATGTGCTCTTATCACACGACAGACTGCCAATGAACATACATTTCAAAGCATGTGTGCTAGATGCAAGAAGAACCTGCTTCTGACCCAGAGATGTAACTTGAGTTGGAAGCTCAGCTCTGAAGACTAGCAACAACTCTAGCAACTCACACTGCCACAATCTTTACAAGGCATCAGCACACAGCAAAAATAGAGACAAACAGGGATAGTGATTTATCAGGACTAGTATGAAAAAACGAGGGCTGTCACAAGCTGGAACTATGGGCATCACTGAAATGCTACACATTTATTCATTATCCCCAAAACAAAACAAGAAGGCTCCATTCTGGTTTCTGATTGTGCTCCTGTCTCACTCATTTATTATTTCAGATCAGTGAATTCAAAGCCTAAAAATTTCTTTTCTCCTGAATTTATATCTTTCACTGATATAAACTAGGAGTAAATCCTTGGGATTCAGTAGTCACACTGGCATAAGCAACAAGGAAGGATCTCCCTCTCAGTTCATGCAAATGAGGTCATCAAATTAAAGTTTAATTTTGCCGTATTCCCCCGCACCCCACCATGCAAAAGCAAGTCTGGAAGCTCAGCCTCATTACAGGGAATTTGTCATTCCATTGTGTGGATTAAACTGATTAATATTACATAACGCACAGAACTATGCCACTAAATGCACCACCGTTGTTCATTATTTCAGGATCACGCTGTAAGGTAATGGAGAAGGAGACCGAAAGCTGACAGCAATGCAAACTAGCATAGCAGAGAGAGAGAGAGAGAGAGAGATACGGCTGCCTGCAGCACCCGCAAATTATCTATGAGGAAATTTCACCCTTCTGAAGGAGCGCGAGCGAGTTCCCAAGGGCATTGTGTTTACATCCCCCAAAATCAAGCTATTAAGGCAGAGACATTGTCAGACGCAACGACGGCAGATAGAGAGCATTCCATCTCCATCCTCTGGTTTCTTCTCATTTGGAAACCATTTACAATCCAATCCCACAGGCAGCTTAGGGTAGAAAAACACCATAATTTGCAGTGTGCGATTTCAAATTCTACAGCTGGTTTTTATTTTTTTATTTTTTTTTGTCATTGTTGCTGCTGCTTGGAAGAATATAGATGAGGAGTACTCCTCGAAGAAACCCTCTTTTTTATGCAACACTTATGACAGCATGGAAGCATCAGAGCCCGCGTTAAAACAGAGAGGTCCCCCCCCCCATTCCTCCTTAAAGCAACATGAACCATGAAAGCTGTGCTTCAGATTTGCTGGCACATGTTTTAAAAATGAATCTTGATGAATGCAAAGGAGCTTTTGAGCAGGATCTCGCTTCATTCTGATATCCCCTTTGGATATTTTAAGCCTGATCCTCATGGAAAATTCATCCAAGTCACGGAAAGAATATAATACATATATGCATTTTTAATTGTTTTTTAAAACAACAACCATGCAAGCAAACAATCATAATTTCAATTTAAAAGTAGTTTGAACTTCTAAGATGAGTTTTGCCTTAACAAGGGAGCTTATCTGAGTCCACCAAAACATAGACGATGCCAGGCAAGGTAAAAAGAAAGCGATAAGCTTGCTCCCCATTCAGATAAGCAGTATCCCCACCACCACCACATTGGCAGATCCCTGGGGGTATTTGATAATCCTGACCCTGGGGTTATTTGAATGAAAGACACTTTGCAGGGTGCTTTTCTCCACCATCAGTCAATATTTTTCAAAAGAGCTGATCCCTATTGCTCACTTTCATCAGATACAGAACTAGGGTGGGGAATAGCACTCGTAAGCCCATCGAAATCAATACAACGTACTTCAAAGAAAATATTTGTAGGATAAGAAAGTTAATGTGAAACATGCCATTATTCCTAAATCTTAACCTGAGAACATAAAGAAGAGCTTGCTGGTTGAGTCCAATGGCCCATCTAGTTCAGCATGCTGTTCTCATAGGGGCCAATCAGATCTGCCTGTGGGAAACATGAAAGCAGGATTCGAACACAAAGCACCCTCATTTCCAGCAAGTGGTATTTAGAAACATTACTGCCTCCTACAAGGGGTGTCAACTTGAACAAAATATGGTGGGGAGCCCAAGTAAGTCCTGCCCTGCATAATCGATCACATGACACAGTGCACAGACACCATTTGAATGGCAATGTCCATCAGCTTTTGGGAGCCCCAGCCCCCTCAAATATTTTATTGGGGGCCGTAGACCCCTCAGTCTCTAGGAGTTGGCTCCTGTGCTTCCAACTGTGAAGGCAGATCATAGCCAACGTGGCTAGAAGCCTCCTTATATTCTTATGACTAAGAAGATGCTCACAAAACAATTGAGGAGCCCTGGGAGCCGCCATTTTGGAATTGGTGCCTTACCTCGTAATATTTGCCGTCGGAATAGCAGCCACAGTTGTGAGGTAGGATGCAGCTCTTGCCGTTGAGGACGTAGCCTGCATCACACTGGCATCCTTCGACACAATAATGGTTGCAGTCACTTTTCAGCCGGATGGCAGCGCAGCGGGGCTGGCACACACTCACACAACTCTCATAGTGGCTGTTGGGAGGGCAGCTGACCGCTGGGAAAAAAAGAGGAAAAGCTTCTTAACACGGCAACACACCCCTGCCGGATGGTCAAACTTCAATGTTCCCCGCTTGTCTTCGAGAGCGCATGCACACCAGAAGGCCCAGTATGACCAAGGGCCTGAGAAGAAGAAGACGAGTTTGGATTTGATATCCCGCTTTATCACTACCCTGAGGAGTCTCAAAGCGGCTAACAATCTCCTTTCCCTTCCTCCCCCACAACAAACACTCTGTGAGGTGAGTGGGGCTGAGAGACTTCAAAGAAGTCTGACTAGCCCAAGGTCACCCAGCAGCTGCATGGGGAGGAGCGGAGACACGAACCCGGTTCCCCAGATTACGAATCTACCGCTCTTAACCACTACACCACACTGGCTCTTTGTAATTCCCAGAGATGCATTGCCTCTGTCCTTGAAACCAAGTGGGATAAGCAGCGGGCCCACCCCCCTTGCTCAGCACTGTTGCCCCCAACAAGGGACCTGAAATATGGGGGGAAATTGCCACCATCTTCCTCATGCTCCCTCTAAAATTCAGTGCTGCAGTTGCCACCAAGTAAAAGACTAAGCCAAAAGGAGTGCTTCATATTCTCCCTCTCCAACTGATGAAGACAATACTTATTGAGAGACAGGAAAAGGGGAGGAGATCTACGTGGCACATTGGCACCGGACACTTTACGTTCAAATGACGAGAAAGAGACGCAAGCATAGCCTGATAATAGGCACAGATGAGTTGAGCAAAGGTTCTGCGGGGCCTAGAGATAAGCCATTATTATTATTATTATTATTATTATTATTATTAGGTGGACACCTGTGAGAACAGAGAATTGGTATGGGTAGGCTTTTTGTCTGACCTTCTGTACTGAGGAGATGCAGTCCTACCATGGAGCAGCCACCTAATACCTAAGTGAGAACTGTAATGAAGAAGGCTCTATTCTGAACACAAGAAAATCTGGAGATCTGAAGAGAGACAGTATATTATTAAGAGTTCTGAAATCAGCAGGGGCGAAGGAAAAGCACCCGGTGTGGGGTGTTGGGTGGGGCAAACTGCCCACAGGGGTGGGGCAAACCACCAGCAGCGCATACGCAGTGCTGCTACGTACAGTGCATGCATAGCACCGCTACGTACGATGCATGCACAGTGGCGCCGATATCTCCGGCGCCGCTCGAGAGCCATACAGACAGCGGTGGGATCCTCTGTTCGCGGCAGGGGGATCCTCTGCTCATGGTGGTGGCAGGATCCTCCGCTCGTGGCTGCAGAGGCAGGAGCGCGGTACTCTGCTCACGGCGGAGGGATTATCCGGATCCTCCACGCGCAGCTGTGGCAGTGCGATGACAGTGGCTCGTGTTGCCGCGCCTGGGGGTGGCAGGGCGAGCCCCCCACAGGGTGCTTTCTTGTCACCCCTCCGAGAGATGGTACCTGGGGCACACCGCCTCCCCGCCCCTTCCTCTGCCACTGGAAACCAGTACAACAGAGACACCAAGGCTCACATTGTGCAAACACCTTTCTTCAGCTCCACTGACCAACACAGGAGTCAGCAAATGGCAGTCTTGAGGCCAGATCAAGTCCTTTGAGGGTGCAGTTTGCTTCCTCTGCTATTGTCAACCTGTCACAAAATGGTGGTTAACAGCAGGCCGTGGGGAGAGGAGGTTAGACACCTGGCTGTCCCCCCACTCCTGGTTGAAAAGCAAAACCAGTTCCTTATAGCCTCTGACCTAAGTGGGGCGGGGGGTTTTTTTGGTAGTGCATCAAAACTTTGATCAGAAATGACAGGAGGATTAAAAATGTGTGTGTGTGCACACCAGATTCAACCAAAGTTGGTCCATTAGAGTGCATGGCACACTACCCTACCGGCTTTAGTCTGCCCTCCACCAGCTCTGACCTGCCTGATTTCTTACTTATGTCCAGTTCAGGGGTTGACGCTGATGGGCAGCTGCCTCCTGCTTGGGAGTTGCTTCCACAGGAGGCATTGATGGCCACCAGCTTGGAAGAGGATTAGACTAATTCATAGAGGAGAAAGCGATACACGGCTACTAGCCATGATGGCTATGCTCTGCCTCCATATTCAGAGGCAGTAATGCTCATGAAATGAAATGAGTAATGATCTAGCCTTGGCGCTCTTCTTGAAGAACTCAGCAAGAAGAAGGATGGGGATGAAACTAGAATGAGTTGGTTGTGCCTGCCAGTGTCTCTGGCGCCACCTACTGTTGACCTCCCTGCTCTTCTAGAGCACCTTTCTGTGCCTCTGAAAAACAACTGTATCCACCCTATGGGAGTCTGAAAAGCCAAGCTACTGCAAACATTCAAAAGATGAAAGGGCAGAATGGAGAACATCCACAAGTCCTCTGCTTCTCCTCCTCTCCCCATCCAACAGCTGCATTCAGGTCCTTGAATTTCAGGAGCAGAGCTGATTTAGGCCATCAATTTGTGAATAGAAAATGATCCAAATTTAATTTTTAAATCTTATTAGTGATGAAAATGACTTTTCAATTGATTTGCCAAACGGTCTGCCTGCCGGAGGAGCTTTGCATCTTCATTTATGAGGAGTGTAATTGAACGGTACGTTGTAATCCTATTGACCACAGAGACAAGCCTCCTTAGAACAAATACGCACTCTTTCGCTTGCATGTATAAACTAATAACATTTACATTTGACAAATGAAGAACAACTACTGCTGGGACTAGAGATTTAACCTATATCTTTCCAGAACGGGGTTTGGATGTGCAAGAAAAATACCTTGCTTATTTAACAGTTCTTCCCGTCTAACCAGGGTGGGGGTACCTGACTGCCCTTCCACCTTGGTGAAGGCACAGGACACCTGGTGTAGGGGGTACATTGGCAGCGGACAATCTGGTAGAATGCTGTAGCTGACTGTCCTTCCTTATGTAGGTTTGTATACAGTGATGAGGTTGCAGTGGGTTTAAAATTCATTACTATTTCTGCAGTAGGGTCCCTGTCTCCAACGTCCTAGAGCAACACAGTCAACATGAAAGGAGAGCTTTTTAGCCAAGGGATGCTCCAAAGCAAAGCATTTAGGAACTCTGAAAACACAAGGTGCTTCAGTTTCAAGAGAAACTGCCCATGTGCGTGCACAGAAAATACATCTGGCTGAAAGGCAACACAGAGATATCTGTATTGATCACTGCAATGCATCTCAAATGATTATTATGATATAATCTTAGATGGTTGTGTAATCTTATGAGGAGTGTGGCTGTGACTAAGGGACCCAGCACTTTTGAATTTGCTACTGCACTGCTGGTTGTAGCCAACTAAGTTCTACTGAGAGCAGACCCACCAAAATTAATGATCCTACGTCAGTCATGTCTAGTAACTTCAGTGGGCCTACTCTGTAGCACAACAACTTGGAAACAAGCAGGAACCGTCCGGACAAGTTTAGCATTTCTCATTACAATTAGGCAGACTGTGCTTGGCTCAGTCTAGTAAGCCACATCTGTCTCCCTCTGTTCCAAGATCCCCCAGAAGCTTACCTTGGAACAGTGAACGGCAGAGGTGGTGGTTTTTGGTGCTCCCAGATCCCAGGGATATGTCTTTTCCTGTCAAGGACCACAAACAAG